AAGACTTGAACAGATCTCTGTCCTCTGGCCGTGTCCGCCCCGAATGAGTTGACAGTTAACCAAACAGAAAATGATTTTTGACTAATGTATACAAACATATGCACATACCCCTCTTACCTCTACCAACCTATGTTTATTTATTATTCTGGCTTCAGTTCTTTGATTTACGCTGTTTATCTGTGTGCAGTCTTCTAACACCTGTCTCCAAGAACTGTCTTACCAGCTGTAATCACTACATATATTCTTTTGTATATGCTAACAAATGTATACATCTGTATCTGCACAATAATAATAATTCACGCCAAACCTCTGCCATTTGCTAGCTTCTACGATTTCTGCACATTTAAATGGGGCATTTAAATTTAGCCGCACACGCGGATATGTATACAGAAATGTACGTATGAGTATGTGAACAGTGAACATTCGAAACATGTAACATTACCTTTGTAAAAGTATTATACTTCAGGATACCAACAAATATAACAGCTTTAAATAAGGTCCACCAAGAAAAAGGGTATGCAGCTGGGATCCAGAAAATCACAATAAACCTTTCGAGTGTTGAACTTTTCGAGAGTCCACTGTATGATTGTTTTGCGTATTGATCCGATCCGATTCACGACGGCTGACCATCACGTGTGTTCTGGTGCTTATTTCTATAACTGGAACTCTCCAGATGGAACTGCATACCCCCAGCCATGTGTATTTTCTAATGTACCAAGAAAGGGGGTCGCATGGCCGCATGGTCATTTTCCCAGGAAAAATAAATTTTCGATTTTGTTTTCGGCTTAACTTATTTATGAAAATCTGTACATACATCTGGCAGAAGTGTACATTTGTACATGTATCCGACTACTGACTGGCTAATTAAATACGGGCATTATACACGAAAACATTTCAAGTGTTCTGTCGCATCACGTGCTTTCTGACGCGGTCCCGTCATCCGCTCTCTTAACGGCTGTTGAGTACTCCTCTCCCTCGCTGTCTCTCCCATTTTTAGCAGCCGAGCGTCACTTGTTTGTTGTTGGTGCCGCGTGCTTTATATAGAGGCTGATATCATACATGTCTATGTACATACATAGATACTGGCACTGATATTTGTCGAAAAATTCCCGTTTGAATTTTGTATCGCTCGATGCTGCTCGTCAATTGATATCCCGAATTGATTTCCAAATGATTTTGTTTTGCTTAGTGATATTTTTCGCTGCTCCTGCCCCTGTCCGTCCCTTTCGCACGCCCTTTTGCGTTGTTGTTGCGGACCTATCCAACGACTTCATTAGTCAAATCTGTGCTCTGAAACTATGCAAATTAACCAGACTAATTATGTAATTAAAAATGTGCCGACGAGAACTTCATCTGCATACATTTACATACATCCATACTTCGTATCTGCTGCGAGTTCATTAAAAGTTGGCGGGGCACACACACATGCGCCCACTCCCATGAATACGTACATACATACACATAATTACATGTATACTAATAGCTTTAATATATAACAGCATACATACAAATATTTCCTGATTTGTCATACAAATAACGAGTAAAACTACGGTCATAGGTACATATGTTCAACCTACCTACCACAAAGCGGCTATATACTATTCGAATGTATTTTCGTTAATTTTCCTCTTATATGCACATCGCTAATTGAATTAGAATTCGGAGAGGAGAAAAGAAAAGAAAAGAATCAGCGAACGAAAACAAAACACAGTAAACGGTCGGGCGTCGCAACCCAAATCGATCAATTTCACCTGCCACTTTCTGCGCGAGTCAAGTTCAATGCAACTGTCACGGCAGCAGCGGCGCAAGTATTACGAAGCGCATCAGCAACTCGGCTAGCGATGCAGTTGGGCGGAGCGTCACGTGACCCCGCAACAGGTGTCGCTATGAGGTTTCGACTGGCTCCCAGTTTCTATCTCGCTGGATCCCTCGCATCGCTGCTTTTGGAGCCTTTTCAGGGTCACTTTAGGCCATCATTATAATTAGTGGAGGGCTTTTGTCATAAAAGTCATAAGTATAATATATATATATATATAAATATATATATATTTGTACATACATACATACATACATACACATGTATGTACATACATACAAACTTATCAATATCAAGATGTTGGAAAAGGCTAACAGATTACTATACCCAAGCTGTATTACTAGAAGAAGTGTGGATCTAGGATGAACCTGGGAGGGAGATATTTGTACTTTACCTCTACAATGCAGAGTCTACAAGATATCAGATTTCTAGAGTTAGCAAGATGTTTGTGGGTCGGTGGATGGCTTCCTTTGGGATGGTTTTGTTCAATACTTTCATCGATTTAAACCCCAGGAGAGTTCCAGACTGCTTCAAATCGACCGACATAAAACCAACAAGCACTTGTTGAGCAACTGGATACTGGCCATCGTTCATTAAGCATTTTCATCTTACTCGAATCAGCATCAGAGCCAATCAAATAAGTTTTCTGTTCATAAATCGATGCCCAGCGTGTGTCACTCAACTTCTATTCGAATTTGCTTGCAATTGTATTTACTCGTGTCTGATTTCCATTTGTTTCGATTGCAAATGAGTCGAGAGTCCAACGACCGAGAGACCGACTTATGAACAAGCAGTAAAACTTCCCTCCCCCGCCTTGTAGCCTATAAATTTCAGGAGAATCTGATACGCACCATGGTACAGATCGAGAACACCTACTTCGAGCTTGGCAACTCGAGCACCCGCAACTGCTTGATTATATGTGATCGCGGTGTCATGGACGCAAGTGCATGTAAGCGATTGAAATTAGAGCCACAGCCAGGGCCAGAGACTAACATTTGGCTTCCCTTTCGTTGCGTTCTTCAGATATATCGAAGGACAAGTGGGAGAAGATGATGGCGGGCAACAAGTGGAACCCCGTAGAGATGCGCGACAATCGCTATAACCAAATTTTGCACTTGGTGTCAGCTGCCAACGGGGCCGAGGACTTCTACTCCACGGAGGTAAGTAACTAGCAATCGGTTCCAGCGGAACTGTTTTCACTTGACCAATTCTTTTGTTCGCCAAAACAAACGCCCAAAACACGGTAGAACAGAAAGCGCCATTATCAGGTACCCAACAGACTAATGGCTATAGATTTGATACCTATGTAAATAGCTATCGCTAGTGGCTTTCTAGCTGGGGCTAAGGGCTGCCTTGAGTTGTCTGGAATCAGTTGTGGCGCAAGCTAATTCGTGATCTACGTATTTATTGCAGGACCATGCCTGCCGTTCGGAGGGCGTTGATCTGGCACGCGAACTGGACTACAAGTCCGCAGCTGCTTGGGTGGGACATCCCTATTTCGACGTGATCGACAACTCCACCAACTTCGAGGCCAAGATGAATCGCCTGATCGAGTCCGTTTGCCAGAAGGTAGGCATCGACATCGGTGATCGTTTGCAGGCCACATCGCGAAAGCTGAAATACTTGGGTATGCTATGAGAGTTACAGGTCCACACAGGAGCTAGTCTCTAAACCTTGTCTTCTTCATTGCAGTCGCCATGCTGCCGCCCGACAGCGAGTTTCCGCCATTTCAAGACTTCGACGTGGTTCATCATTATTTGCAGTCTGGCGGACCCAAGGTGCAGGCCCGCCTGCGCAAGCGCGGACAGAAAAGTCACTGGAGCTACATTCATACGCAGCGTCGTCCCAATGTGCACGGTCAGGCTCGTATCGAAGTGAAGACACAGTTGACGCATCGCGACTACATGAACCTGCTGGCACAGCGTGACGATGCTCACTTCACCATCTACAAGAAGCGACGCTGCTTCTTAATCAACAACCAATATTTCCAGCTGGACATTTACAAGGAGCCCGGCCATCCGCGGTTCGTGCCACATAACCAGCTTGTCTGTCCCTTCCTCACCCGTTACTCATGTATTTGCATCATTTTAGCTGCAAGGGTTTGGTGCTGCTGGAAACGTATTCTTCGCTCACGGGTGACGCGCTGAAGAACTGCATGCCCAAATTCTTGAATATCGTGAAGGAGGTAACTGGCGATCCGGACTACTCCATGTTCAATTTGTCACTCAAGGAGGACTGGAGCACCACCAAGAAGTTCTGCCGCACGGCGACGCACGGTAAGCAGCATGAGCAACAAATGCAGCAAGAGAAGCAGAAGCAGTATCATCCCTACGACGATACCAGCGACTAAGGAGCCATCGCCATCAACATCATGCTTAGCCAAAGAATACAGAACCAAAATGCTTGATAACCAACTAATGTACATACCGTCATGCCACAAGACTTAATTTTCGGTTTTTATTTAGATTTCGGCCTGACTGTGTTTCTTCTTTTGATTTTGTAGCCAAGGGCGCCGCTTACGGAGTTGCCAATACGCCATTGGTACTCAATGGCCAGTAGACTTCAAAATTGTCCTGTTCCTCCCTGAATCTCTTTTGCACATGTATATTTCACGACAGAAGCAAACAACAAAGAACAACAACAATGACCTACCCGGCAACAAAATGTACAAAGAGAGCTGATGTGTGATTCACACGAAAGCGCAAGGTCGAAAAGATTAGAGCATTCACGTGGATTCTCCCTCGAGATGAAGCATTCAATCGCCTGGCAGGGTCAGCTGGTGATGCTCTGTAAGCAAGCAACAGCAACACCAACATCAATTTTACTTATTTTGCGTACTTAGCCCGAGGAAGAGAAACTGTGAACCAGAGGCGTAGTATGTGTCGTCGAGTCCAGCTTATACGTTAGTTTTCAGTTTTATCCAAATCGGTGGTCTACCACCACGATTGTACTTAATTTTCTTGTCAAGTTTGCTCGTGCTAATTTTGTAAGCCATAAGCGACTACAATCTACAAAAGCTGTGTGTACATCCGTGGATCCGCAACAAATTTTAAACTTTTTGTGTCTTTTGGATAATGTGAAGCGATCATTTTAAACTTAGCTTTAAGAATATAGTAAATACGATTACAAATACACACACAAGACCCCCAAAAGTTCTTTGCTGTCCTTCTTATCGGTTGGTTCATTACAATCTAAATAAATAATTTTATTTGGGAGTGAGTTAAATGGCTGCGCTTGGATCAACGGCAACTATTGCGTCTTGGCCTTATTGATGCGTTTTATAAGATCGTCCACAGCGCGATTGATCCGCAGGAGCAGAACATATCCCACAATGAGGGCCGGCAGGCTTACAAAGGTGGCCAGGGCCTCGTAGATAAATCGCGGGGCAAAGATTTTCCATACCATAAGGTGTCTGCAATGTATAGTGCAGGCCAGCATAGCGCAAAAAATCTATAAAAAGAAAGAGAAAAAATTGCATTTAGTGCCAGATAACATGGAATGATAATCGGATCCAACCTTTAGACCCTGTAGCATAAAGAATTGCGTGGCGAGCTTGAAGCCGGCCCCCAGAAAGACATCCTCGTACTCGTACAAAGTCAGCTCGCCACGAGTCATATCGAAGCCCACCGCCTCATTGGCAATGTCGGACATGGCAACTGCTGCATCTGTTTTGCTGCCACTGCGACAGCTGTTACTGAAGCTCCGAATGAGATTTGGGAAAAGTGCGAAGAGCGAAAAGGTCTCCGTGCTCAAAAGGGCATACATGCAGAAGAAGAAAATTGGGCCACAGAAGGTGTTCAGGATGACCAAGGCACCGGAGATAATGTTCGACTGGCCAATGCCACTGGTGCGACCCACAAAGGCGGCCCTCCAATCTATCTGCGACAGCGTTGTTTGATGCGATGTGGCAAAGAAACAGAAGTGTGCCAGCAGGAACCAGCCCACCACAGCCATGAAAGTCGGCTGTACACAGCTCTCTGAAAGTAAATTTGAATATTTAGTGACCAACCCATTAAATAGAGGAAACTGATATAAAGACTCACCAAAGCTGGTGGCAGTTCGATACCGTAGAATTCCCTGCACACTGAGCAGAATGGCACTAATGGCCACACAAACGACCAAACCGATGGCGGCACGCGGCTCCAGCAGAACAATCATCGTCATGGCCAGGAATACGCCAAAGGTAATTGTGATGGAGGAGTAGACGGTAGCCAGGCCATAGACAATGGGTATTTCGGTGTGTCGCTCGGCATCGTCGCCTTCATACATGCGCTTCATTTTTTTGAATATCTCTGGCACAATGCTGTCATTTCTGTTGACGGTAACAATGTTTGGGTTGCGTTTTGGCAGCACGAAGGTCATCAGGGGCGCCAAGCTGAGGACGATGATTTGCAAAAGCAGCAGACCATAGATCACCAAGGCCATGGCATCGATGTGAGTGCGTTGTATGTTCTTGATGGAGCTGTTGGCCAGGAGCACGTGGCCGCCAGCGCAAATGGTGGCCACCGTCGGTCCATACCGAGCCAGTAGCACGTTCGGGGAGCTCCCCGTCAGATTGCCGCAGGAGCGCAGATACAATCGCGTAAGCGTTGTGTAGATCACAATTATAACGACAGCAAGGATGTATGTTTTTCCTGTACCCGGCTTTTTGATTGAGAATCCCGAGGTATTGCTGGTGGCAAAGTCCGTGCAGTTGCCCTGCTCCTCGCGACAGCGGAATAGCGTGTACGCAAAGCGGATAAAGCAAATGGCTAATATGCTGGCCAAGATCAGGCGCAGAGCGGTTGAGCGCAAGAACTGGGATGCCCTGAACTTGTTTCTAAAATCGAAGCGGACGCTTTGCTGTAGAAGCTCGTAGGAAAACAGTAGAAAAACGGCCACCAGAAGGTAGGACAAAATCTTCGCCTCCTGAATGACGAAGCTATTTGAGAAGAACACGGCCATGATGGAAAAGAGCAGCAGTCGCGTGGGCATGTGACCAAAGCGTTTGACGTTCGCCCAGTTGCTGGCTATACTGGTCCAATGCTGCAAGGTGTAAAACGCCAAAATGACGGTACTGGTGATAGCCGTGAAGAAGATCACGCCGTGTTCTTCTGACTTGAAGGAGAAATTCTTGTAGTAGCGATATCCAAAGACGCCTGCGGCGAGATTGAGCAGGTAAGTGTAGAAAATTCCTTTGGGCTTGAACATATTCGAGTAGTCTGCGGGGCGGGAGTTATTGATCAGAAGAAAGGCGAAGAATATGGGCAGGAAACAGAAGAGAAGCCCCTGGGACATCTGCGTCGGTTCAAACTTGACCCAGATCTCGCGACAGGTGCTAAGAACGTCACGCAAGCTGGCGTTCAAGTCTCTCACAAAGGACTTGTAGGCGACTCCGTTGTAAATGGTTTGGACTCGGTGGGTGAGCAGGATGAACTCCGTTTCCAGCTTGTCCATTTCCTGCACGTCAAAGGTTCGTCTGTTTTCCATGGCATACTTGAAGAAGTAGCGATAGATTTGCTGCGCGTTCTGCCAGGCATGCAGTAGCAGGATTTGGAACTTGCTCAAGTGGGGCACTGGCACATCGGGAACGATGTTGAAATTAATCAGGCCCAAGTTTGAGTACGGAATGGGCACCCCAAGAATGGCCGCGAGTGTGGGAACCAGATCAATCTGGAACACAAGACAGTTAACATATCATTGTGACGTGTGCCAGATTACCTCCTCGCTTGTCTTATCTCACCTGCTGCAGTGTTTCGTTATCAGAGCCCGAATCGCTGCCAAAGAACTTGCTCTGCTTGGAATAGGCAAACAACAGAGCATTTGTTTCGTCATCAGTGTCGCCGCCGTGATCCCCGGATGCTGTCATGCCATGGTCGCCCATTACCAGCAACGTCGTTTCGTTGTCCATGGCGTTTACCACGGAGCTGTTAATGCAATATTAAAGATAATGTTGCGTCTATTCGACCATTCGGCGGAAATTGATATTAAAACGTCAGTACCTTACGATCTCATTTATTTCGGTAAGCTTGCGAGCCATCTCCTCGTGCAGGGGTCCATGCTTGTGACCGCAGTGATCCACACCCAAAAAATGGGCAATGAGAACCTGCCAATCGTCGCTAGCCAACTCCTTGGGCAAGTGTTTCATTATTTGATTGTCAACGCTGTCCAGATCGAATATGTCGAAGCTGGGATACGAGTAGGCGCGCTTAAAACGGCGAGGGTACAAATCGGTCCATGTACTGTCGCCCAAGAACACCAACGGCAGATCGCTTTTGACTATCTGATCGATTACATTGTCCTCGTTGATCTCGGGCGATGCAAAGTTCGAGCCAATATCGATGAAAGTGGGCAGACTGCCGGTTGTAAGGCCCTTCAGCCGCTGCAGCGTGGTGGTGGGTGGGTCCGCCTTAAAGCGCATAAGGCGCGACTGGTCCGGACTGCGCTCCAGGAGCTCTTGCAGGACACTCAGTTTATTCTCATAAGGCAACGGTTCGGTGATGTTACTTTTATAAAGGCCAAATTCATATTTAAGCGCATCAACGACTAGGATAATGACTTTTGACTTTTGTGGAAGACACAAGTTGGACGAGGCATTGACGTCCTTAAAGATTTCGTTCACAACCTCAGGTGTGAGCATATACTCCTGCAAATTGCACGACATTAGAGTCGGAGTAAATGAAATTTCAAGATTGAGAGTAAAGACTCACGTCATTGTGGTTCGTGGAGAGGCGGCGGCAAGTGCTCGTTTCCGTTTTGGAGACGCGGGCAAGAAGAAACCCACGAGAAAACAACAACACTCCGCTGCATATCAAAAGGGCCAGCCAAATGAGCACTAACAAGTAGATGACGTTCATCTTTCCGCCGCAGTTTTTTAACTAACTAAACTAAGAACGTACATACATGTGTATGCAGAGAAGATAATCGGCATTTAGAACAATGCCGAATGAACTCGATGCCCTGACCTGTCTCGGGGAAAAATGTCCGTTCTATTAAACTATAAAATTAATTGCACTTTAATTTGGAGCCGTACGTAGCTGGTCCGTTCTCAAGTTCTATGCATCACGACGCGTATTCTTTGGTTTTTGTTTTCATTCAAAATTCGTAATTTTCTGCAGAACTGGCTGCAAAACTTTTGTGGAAGAACCAGTCTTGCCACCCTGTCCAATGAAACAGCTGACGGTATAATGCAGCCCTGATGAGGCAGAGCATGAAGCATGAAGTATTATATAAGGAGGTGCCGTCGGGTCGGCGTTCGAGTTTGCTCGGCCTATAATTGCTCACTGTTCATGCGAAAGGTTGTGGGCGGACGAATTTTTTCGATTATTTTTTAACCCTATAACCGCCTATGTTAAACATATGCGCGCTGAAAATGACTTTTCGATTTTTGCCAATAAAATTGTTAATTTTTTTAAAAAAATAAAAAGCCTAAGCAAAACAAAATCTACTAAAAAGCCAAGTACCAACTTCTGTCAAGTAGTAGCTTATTAAAAAATTAAATTTAGAAAAAATAACTTACTCATTTTCTCGTAATGGGCAACTTTAACCTCCATGCCATTATAGGGTTAATCCATCACACGATAGTTTCGTTTCACTCACACTTACAGCGCAGAGCCCTTTTACTCGCACTTGCAAACAGGGTAGATATTAGAGCAATTTTGCCGATGGCACCTCCTATAATTACTTCATGGCATGAAGCAACTATATAGTTACTTCATGAGGCAGAGATGCCATGACAGCATACAATTTGGCGTTGCTTTTTAAATTAAAAAATAATTATATTTTGGGCAAACCATTTTGCATTTATTTAAAGATTTCATACACATATAGCAAATCGTAGACCAGCAGTAGCAACAAATTCGACGTGCATGTGTGTCTTACATTACGGTGTGTGTGTGTATGTGTGCTTTTTCTTAAGGTTTCCAATCAAGCTTCAGTTAATTAATTTGCGTTCAAGCTCTGATCTGATCGAATTATTCGAATTTAAGTTAGCTCCTCACGCGATTCGCCACCTAACCACGGAAGAAAAAGCCTAAAGAATAAATAAATATGTTAAAAAAATATACATATATATTTCCCTTCAAAAAGGTTTTGCTGTTAAAGATTGCTAAGTATTGAAAAGAATGGGAATGAAGAGGTTCACCTCGAGTCCTCGATGCGGGGATAGTTGGGTCTTTACACATACACTTATGCTGATAGGTAGAACAGTATAGTATTATTGTATGTATATGAATGCAGCAAGTTCTCCACTCGGTTAAAGTTCAAAGCATTAATGCAGCTCTTAAGTTTCACACAGATATATGTATGTATATAAATATGCATATTAATAGTATACTCCTATGGGCCAAACATTTTTAATATTATTTTGAAGAACTACACACACACATATGAAATATATGATTTAGTTCTGGTTAGATCTAGGCGCAGACACATACAATATGTCGCAATCGAAATTGTTAGATAAGTGGTTGGTGTGTGTGTTAGCATATATTTTCAATCCTTTATTATTTAACGCGTGCTGTTTGTTGTTGGTGTTGTTGTTCCCATGGAATTTATTTGGTATGTGAGTCTGTGGGTGAGTTCAGTCCCGAGGATGTGTTGTTCTCATCCATAGCGTCTGGGAAACTGGAAACCGAGCCCGAGCGGGATGTCACCTTGGTCTACAAGAGAACAGAAAACCGAGCAGTTTTAGTAACAAGGCGTAGCAACAAATCCACAAATAGATGTTCGTTTAAGCAAGCAAAATCAAATTAAAATCGAAAAAGTCCCGATCCAAGTGTATACAAGTTTATGAGTGACTGTGAGATGCTCAACTCGTATCGTGTAGAAGAGACATGCAAAACTCCTCGAGAAAGTGTTCGGTTAGTGTGTGGAAAGGGAGCCAAATCGATTGCGAAAAGAGTATGAGAGATGTATAAAGACAGATATATAAAAATAGTAGTTACCGCATGAGATTGGCACATAAAATTGTTGTGTTCATAGCTTACTTTAACGTTCTCATAGGCAGAGCCAACTGAAGCCTCGATAGAACGCATCGACTCGGAGTTTTTCATTTGTGACAATCTCGACGAAATGCCACTGGTAAAGCTCCCGAACACCGAAGCGGTCTTCTCGCCCGTAGTCTTGAGCACCGATTCGGTGCGCTGATACCTGCACACGAGTAAATGGAAAGGAAGAGAAGAGAATAGTCATTCATTTTAGATTTCATCACAGAGAGACAGAAAGATTCACAAATTGGTGGGGGTTTAGTCATATACAAACAGACAAGAGATGTTATTGTGTGTTAAAGGAAACATGAAGCACATCGTTAGTTGGGGACTCCACAGAGCCGGAAGCGAGTCAGCCTTAACACATTTACTTACAGAGGTGCCTCGTGTACGGCTTTAGTAAAAGTGCCCACGCTTTGCTCCACCGATTGGTAACTAAATAAATACATGTTTTGTGGCATTTAGCATGGTACCGAAACAAAAGCATGTTTAAAAATGAAAATTTGTAAGTCGGGTTGGGTTCTTGTCGTCCTCCGTGTTCTTCCCATCTACGACTTACACAGTGCTTTCCTTGATGTTTTTCACGCCCTGATTCACGTCCTCTGTCAGCTCCTTCCAGACGGTGATGCCCAGCTTGCGTTTGAGATCAGAAGCATGACGGGTCTTTGAGGCCAAAACAGTCCGAAGCGTGATGATTTCCTCCTCTACACGGGCCAGTTCCTGCAATGGGGATTTAGTATTGAGAATACTCCTACTTCAAACTCCTCCTCTCTCCATTTACCTGACTCCATTCGGCGCGTCGCTGCTCCTTCTCCTCCGTGCTGAGCGCTGCGAACTCGGCGGCAATTTCAGCTGAAGCCACAGAAGCTGCTGGAGAGGCTGGATCCGAAAGGTTGGCACTGTTATCTGTTCAGGAACAACACTGATTAATTATTTCGAATACTCAGAGATCAACCTAGGCTTCCAATCTGACTTGGCGTGTGCATTTAGACGTGTTGTCTGCGAGAAGTGTTTATGTATGTACCTCCTTTGAAAGCCACTTCCTCAAAGACTTTGTCATAGGCTGTGCATCGAATTTTTATTTGTTTATTCGTATGTACATACATACAAACGAATATATTGTGAAAAGCATGAGTTTCTGTTTTATTAGTTCGTTTTCGGATGGTTTATACTCACAAACTGTCCAGGTGAAAGGCAAGCGGGGAAAAGAGGCAGAAAAGTTAGTCAGATTTGTATGGGATTTCTTGGGAGAGAGGGATTGTGCGTTTGTGCGAAAGAAGCAGAAAAAAAGACCTCCGACCCCAAGCCCCGACCCAGCCAAACGCCCCATTACCTCTGCCGCTTTGACCGATGCTGAGAAACCGCTTGTAGTTATCGCTATTTGATATCTTGGCCAGATACGGTTTCGAGAAATCTATAAACGTGACCTTAACGTCTCGCATTGTACGCCTGGTAAAGAACCTCAGACGAAAGCGCTTCGCTATCGATGACGAGGGCGCCTGATTGGCCAGCTTGTGGCCCACGAACTCGGTCTCCACAGCCTGCAGCTCCAGGGTGTTGGCGTAGTCCGAGTCCACGTCGTAAAAGATTTGTTCTAGGGTCAGGTTGCGCAAATATAGTTCGGCCTCGGTTTCGGCCTCCTCGTACCAGTCCGAGTCCGCTCCTAGTGCAGAATCCTGGTCCTGATCGAGCGAGGGCGTTGTGGTGAGCTCATCGAGGCGCGGCAAGTACGGATCCTCGATGAACTCCAAGCTAACGGGCTCGGATTCGCTCATTCTGCAGTGTCAGTGGTCTGTTTCATCTCTTACATGCACTTTCTCTATCTTGAACGTGGCAGTGGTCGCTCGGCGAAGCCAAGCATTTAGTCGTGTCGTGTATCACATTTCAAAAGTAAGCGTCGGACACATTTTCTGGTCGCTTTCCTCTGTCCAGTTGTGTTCTCTGCTGATGTTTCAGTTCTCTTGAGCCTCTCTCCTCATAAACACATGCTAGCTAGCTTTTCTGGAGTTTTCCCCGACCCGACCCGCGCGTGAGTGAGCTACTTTCGGATATTGCTGGTCGTTCCGCACTCTTCTGCGGCAAAACGTTGACTGAGCTAAGTCGGAGCTTTTGAGCTCGAGTCAACAATTGGTTTCAAAAAAGCCAGGCCTGGCCTGGCTTTGTCTGCTTGTTTTGTTTCGTGTCGGCACGAAAGACTAGCTGCAGAAAAAGAGAACAGGCAGAGTGGGAACAACGGCAACAGCAGCCACAATCCACAAAACACTGCCAACACACACACACACACACGCATTGGCACTCTGAAACGGCTCTAGGTCTGGTTTGTTGCCACAGCACCGCACACCTTCTCCCTTCCCTCTGTCAACCATCATCCAGAGTGGTGCTGTTGCTCGAATCGATCAACAAGTGGCAGCTATGAGTCAATTATCGAGTGGTTTAATATTGAAACAGACTCCAGCTTAATTGGTGCCAGCGAGCACAATAGAAAAATATCCGAGGAGGCGTTTCTGCAATCAGTTCCGACCTTTCGACGCCTGCGGGGAGTGGGGACTCCGCCCACATGCTGATTTTCCCGGAACGACAGAATATTTCCCATTTCAAATCCGCCACGTATACAATGCAATGTTTAGACGCCGGCGTATTTTCTTTTGGCATTTGGAACGAATCCCACGAGTTGAATTCTCTTCAGCGCGTCGGCAGGAACCTCTGCATGTCAAAAGTGACATGACTCATTCTGCATTTCCTTGGAGCCACATGCAGCTACAGCTACAGCCAAAGTCACAAGGAAACCAAAGACCTTGTCTGCCCCTGCCTATGAATTTCCAATGGGCTCAATCAGAGTTTTATACTTTGGCACACTCGCCGACTAATTGGCGGCGGTGGCCCAAACAAAGGTACCCGCTGTCCCAATCCGAAGAGATGGCCTAAGACCACACCACCCCAAACATGCGCAACGGCATCTTGCTGTTAAAATCGAGAACAAAGTGGCACACTTACGATCCTCCATTGCTGCGATGACTGTTGAAGCCTTTTCTTAATTTGAGCAACTTTGTGTTAATTTGATTTGAGTTTTTTATTAAAAAAATGTAAGCACAGCACTTTACGATAGAGGTGGAAAACTATCGATGGCACTATCGGTACTATCGATGGTTGGACACTATCGAACTAGCTCACTGTGGATGGTTTAAAGTCTCGATAGTGGTCGATAATATCACGATAGTTTTAAAAATTAGCCCCACCCTAAAATAGCGTGTTGGCGTGAGATGTTATGTAGATGTTGATTAAAGATGTAGAAAAAATGTAATATGTAAAACTTAAAATTTGAAAAAAACCGTTAAGGTACAGATTCTCTACTGAGTACCGGGTATAAAAGTTGTGATTCGTAAGAAGCGTCTCACACGTCCCTTCTCGTTTTTAAACCAAAATTTGTAGATTAAATAAAAAATACTAAACAAACTATACATTAAGCATAGTAATACTAACCATAGTTAAACAGCTGAGTTTCTAGATTTAATCGGCCAGTTTTTTTGTCAATCTGAGTACTGGATGGCGTAAAGCCGCCATACCCTGAACCACTAACCAAATAGTATAGTATAGTATACTATATACTATAGTCACTAACTAACTAACTATACTATTTGGTTAGTGCCTGAACCTTACTTTGAGTTCAACGGTCATGACACCCATGAGAGGTGGCTGTGGAGCTATCGATGTAGCACTGTTGTATACGTATGTCATCGAAACTCCCCCGATAGTCCATCATTAGTCGACACTGTTGCCATATCGGATAACTGCACTGTTAACGAGGGAAACGAAATGAAAGAGGCAATTCAACTTTTAAAACTGTTTATTTCAAATGACAAGTAACTGCTTGGAAAATCGTGTTCTTTGCCTTTCAGCTAAATGTCTGGGCCATTTGTATTCATTCGATTCGTCTCATTCATTTGATTTTTGTCTGTTAATATAGGAAAATATATACATTTATACGTTATGTCTAGTTAATTTCTTAGGATTCTAATATCAGGTCTGTTCTTCTTGGTGTTGTTTTTTTTGTTCTAAAAGAAACAGAAGAAAGGAAAAGAAAGGAGTAAATGTTTTAAACAAAAAAATGGAAACTGAGAAAAAGAAAGATTTAAAAATACATGATTGTTTACAGTTTTTATTGGTTTTATATGGTTTTTTGTTTTTATTGAATAGCAAGTAAAAAATTAGAATTTTTCTCATACTTTGTGTTTCAACTTTCAAATAATGCACGGGGTGTATACATATGTCGAGAAAACAGCCGACACTCGATACAAGGTATTAATAAAAAGTGCATAAGTTATTTAAGTGGGAAACATTCATCATAGGTCAAAAACAATTTAATATAAATCAAGAAGATTGCACAAAATTAAAATGTTGGTGTTCATTTTGAAATGTGAGTGGGGTTGTTTTGGGTGTTCTTTTCGTGTTCGTATCAGCCGTTGACGCCGAGTCATGTGAACAGGAGCAGGAGGAGGCGAGTGGAAAATGGAGTACATTTTATTTTAATTTATAAATTTGTATTTTGTTGTTCGTCGTTCGTCCCACTTCCACTCAGCCCATAAACGCAAAAAACGTTATTACAATATAATCAATCAATCAACGTTCAAATCGTTCTCTTTCGAACTAAAATATAACAACTAGCTCGGGCTTGCAGAAAATGGGCAGCAACGTTTTTAAAAACGAAGGGGGGAAGGAGAGAATTGTGTATTGTATTATCAGAACAATTACGAGATAGAATTTAGCAAATAAACAAAAATAAGGAGCGGCGAGTGTAAATAATTAACATTTTATGCTTACAATTATTTTCGTTCTTGACCGTGCTGAGTCACTTTCAAATTGAATTAACAAATCATGAGCTTTCTGCTTACTTTAGGGCTTGAACTAATTAGAATATTATGTGTTGAAAATGAAACAAAATGGTTACATAAAAGAAAGTGGCAATTAAGTGTTACATATATAGTGGCCAGGGCCCCCAAAAAACACACATTGCAGGTTACGGGGCAACAGAACCATGGGCGCCTGAGTCGGATGTTTGTCTGTCTGTCTGTTTGTTTGTCTGTTTGTATTCTATGTTGTATAAATGCAATTTTATGATTGTGGGCGAGCTGTATATCTGTGTATGTGTGTCTGTGTGTGGTCGGGCTTGTGTTGATTCTGTATCAAATTATACAAAAATAGTTTCCTGTTTTGTCATTTGTCTTCTTCAATTAACCTGCACAAATTGCGTTGTAGAAAAGCTCCTAGGAGACAACCTATACCGTTTTGACACTAGTTTTCGACTAACGAGACGAGACGAGACGCCCGCACGACTTCTGCTGTTCCGATGCTCTCCTCTCCACCCGCTCCAGGTTCAGTCCCCGCGACGCACCGCAACGGGTAGTATTGCTTCTGCTGCTGGGGACGCACTTGCCCCGAACTAGTTAGTTCTTGGGGCCCCACACGGAGGTGATGGGCGTGGTGGCGACTGCAGCCCCGCCCGCAGCAAAGTGTGGGAAATCCTCCTGCGACTGAGTGTTAGGCGCAGTTAGATTCTTGGCTTGTTGCTTTTGCTTCTCCCACGGCGCATCCTTCATGATGAATCCGTTCTCGTTGGCACCACCACCACCGACAGCACCCGAGCCCGAGTTGCCCCCAGCACCAGTGAGGAAGGCCCCCACTGTCTGCGGCTGGGGAGAGGGCGGCAAGTTTTCCAAGTAGTCGCGCTCGTAATCCTCGGCCATGCTGAGGAGCACATCCTTAGCGTTCTCCACATCTTCCTCCTTGCCAATGATGGTCACGGCATTGGGATTGTTTTGAGCATCGTCGGAGGAGGGGAATTTGATATCCACCTGAAGGTCAAATATGGTAACAATTGCAAAGGTACCTCTAAGGTATTTCTCCCTCCACTCACCTTGTAATCTTCAATGATTTTGCGAATAGTGCGCCCACGATGGCCAATGATGTGGGAGTGGACCCGCGTGTCGATTTCGATAACCTCGCGGTGAAGTGTCTGGAGATCCCCGACGATTTCCAGAATGGCATCGCGAGCTGCCTCCGCCTTGGCCTGATAGCCGGTGATGGAAATGATGCGTTGATTGGGATCGTCCCGCTTGGGGAGCGAGATGTTCACGTCGTGGTCAGCACGCAGCTTGTTGATGACGGCACCATGGCGACCAATGAGCTTTGAGTGATACTCCTGGTCCACGTCCAGCTGAAGCACGAACGAGCGCAGCTCGCGATCGGCCCGGTCAGCCTCAAAGTCTTCGATCATCTTTTCCAGCGCCTCCTTGGCCTCGGCCACATGGGCCGGAGTGCCCGAGACCTTGATGATGTCCGACTTGAGTTCGCTGGGTGGCAGCTCGACATGCACATCGTGCTTGGACATAAACTGCCGGACATTAGCGCCGCGAGGCCCAATGATGGTGCGGTGCAGGTCGAAAGGAACACTCAGCTCTTCCTCAATGGGAATGAGGTCGAGCAGGGCTTGCTTTGCGGCCTCGCACTTATCTATGCGGCCGGTGATGCGGATGACATCACACTGCCGCACGGGCTCTGCTCCATCTACAGCGGTCGACTCGCCGGCCTCGCCATCCTGGCCCTCTCCCTCTCCATTCACTCCGCCATTTGTGAGGCTGAGACCCTCCACTGGCTCGGTGGCATCCCGATCGGGGAACTTTATTTGAACATCAAACTCGGATGTGACTTGCTGCACCTTGAAGCCTCGTGCACCCATAATCGTGCGATGCTGGCGCTGCGGGATGACCACCTCAATGGTGGTCTGAGCCTCGAGGTCGGCCACGATCTCCTCGATCCGCTGCTTGGCAGCCTCGATGCAGTCTTTGGCGCCTTTGAGCGTCACCTTGTCTGAGTTGGTGCCAGCGCGGGGGAAGGAGATCATCACTCCTCCGTTTTCCTCCGCAATGCGGTGCAGGATGAGTCCCCGCTTGGCCACAAAGTGCTTGTGGTGCTTGGGATCGACGGCCACCTCGCCCTCAGTGACCTCGTCGCACTCCTTAATGATCGCCTCCAGCTGCTCCTTGGCCTTCTTTACACTATCCTCCTTGCCAATGATGGTGATCACCTCTTTGTCCGTGTCCTCGTTCGATGGAAAGATGATGCGTGCGCCCGTGGCATCGCGGATCTTGCGAATTGAAGCGCCATTCTTGCCGATCAAGAACTTGTGGTGCTGCTGCTTGGCCCGCACCTCGGCGGTGAAGGATGCCAGCTGCCGCTCATTGGCCAGTTCCAGCAGCTGTCCCTTGGCCTTCTCAACGTCATCCTTGGGTCCTCGAATGGTGACCTTGTCGCTCTTAGAGTCGCTGTTGGGGAACTTGATGGACACTCCGCCGCACTCCTCCATGATTGAGGAGATGAGTTTGCCCCCTGTGCCGATAATGGAGTTGTAGTACTTGGGCGGGATCTGCACCTCCTCGCTGACAATGTCGGAGAGCTCGTTCTGGATTTTCTGAATGCGCTCCTTGGCCTCCAAGACGTTCTCCTTCTTGCCAGTGATGACTATCACCTCGTTGGTGTCCCCCTCAGCGGGCAGGTCGATTTTCGTTTGGGTCTCATCGCGAATCTTCTTAATGTTGGCGCCGCCCTTGCCGATGACGAACTTGTGGAATTGCTTGAAGATGGGCACTTCGATGATGTGCGACGACTCCTGGATTTCCTTAACCAGTTTCATGAGATCCTTGTGGCACTTGTCCACATCCTCCTTGGGGCCGCGCAGCTTCACAATGTCCGTGTTCTCCTGGGGTGTGGGTATCGTGATAGTCACCTGGCGATAGCGGTCCTTCACCTCGCGGATTTTCTCGCCCTTGGCCCCAATAATGGAGCGGTGAAGGCGCCGATCGATGATCACATCCTTTGACTTTTCATTTTCCAGTTTGTCGATTTTTTCTTGTAATTCAAGCTGCGCCAGCCGCACGCCCTCCTTGGGCCCCTCGATACGGATGTTGTTCTGACCCTCGCGCTCCTCGATGTTGATGTTCACCTTCAGCTCGTCCTTGAGCCGGTTGACATTCGATCCGGCCTTGCCGATAATATGCTTGTAGTACGAGGGGTTCACCGTCATCACCTCAAAGGTGAAGTTTTCCTCGTAGTTGCGTATAATCTCGGTCAAGTAGGAAATGGCCTTGTCCACGTTCTCCGGGTCGCCTTCGAGCTTGATCTTGTCCTCGAGACAGTTCACGTTCACGTTGGGGCAGTCCTCCTCAAGCTGCTTCATGTTGGCTCCCTTGCGGCCGATCACGTACTTGTGGATCCAGTGCGGCGCATTGATTTCCACAGACTTGACCGAGTTGGCCTTCTGGTAGACAACAGTGAGGGCATTGCCGAGGGCGACCTGCGGGCCGCGCAGCGTTATCGTCTCCAGATTGGAATCGTTCGGAGGCATCTCGACGGAGACACCGGTGCGTTGCAGGATCTCGGCAATGGTTGAGCCCTTGGGACCGATGACATAGCGATGCTGTGGCTTGGCCACCTCAACGCTCACCGTGGAGCACTTCTTCTCCATCTCCTTGTAGATGGCCTCGACCTTTTCCTTGGCCGCTGCGACAGCATCCTTCTCGCCCGAGATAATGATCTCGTCCTTCTGCACCTGCTGAGGCGGCACGTTGATCTTGGCGCCCGTCTCCTCCTGCAGCTTGTTTAAGTTCTCGCTGTAGGGACCCACAATGAACGGATGGTAGATCTTAGGAATCGTGGTTCGGTCCGACGACTTCTTGTACTTCTCCGCAGACAGCTGGCGGATCTCCTGCTCCGCCTTCTCGATCCCCTCCTTCGTGCCGGCAATGGTGATGAATTCGCTCTCGTCGCCTTGACTCGGGATATTGATGCGTGTCGAGGTGAGGCGCTCCAGATCCCGCAGCCGCTGGCCACCCTTGCCCAGGATCACGCGGTAGTGCTCACGGGGCACGGTCACCTGCCGGCTGGCCTGCGTTGAGAAACTCATCAGAATCTTGCGCCGAGCGTCCAACAGCTCGCTCTGCTTGCCCTTGATCAGGAAGGTGAGCGACTGGTTCTTGCCGCTGACGATTTCAATCTGAGCGCCGGTCTCCTTGGTGATTTGCTGGCAAATCCGCTTTGATTCGCCTTCGCCAAACTTTTCGGACTCCGTCGACTTTCGCTCTTCGCAGGGAACGTGCAACACCTGTGTCAAATGCGACAAATGTCAGTTTGCTCTTGACATAATGCTGATCCCCTCGAAAGGAGGTATAGTCACTTACCTGCGTCTTCTGCGAGCTTGTCACTCGGGCTAGCGACGAGCTGGAGGGGCCAGACAGCGCAGGCGCCGAAGTATTGGCCGGCAGGGCCGGGAATAGGTCGTCGTAGCTAAACGCGGCCGTGGCATTGCCAGTGCCAGTGCCTCCGCTGTTGGTGCTGGTGGGCGTTGCCACCGAAGTGGGCGAGGATGGTGGCTGATCGTTGGACACCTGCTCTTGGCCGTTGATGAGGGCGATCGGTTGTTGCTCAATGCTGGTTGCTGCAATTGGTTTAATGGTTAACTTTACCATTGGCGTCATACGCCCACGGGGGGCTAGCTATCCTTCTCTTACCGTTGGATTCCTCCATCACTGCTGCGGCTGCTTGCATTACTTAAAAAAAGAGAAGAGTCCTTTTTCGTTCCAAGTCGTTACAGTAACACTGGAAGCAGAGAAGATCTGTTATTGTTTTAACTTCCAGATAATGGCTAATGAAGTGCTAGTTTTGGGAATATTCTGGGACACTCGACCCTCCATCAATCAATTATTCAATCGGACCGCAGTCGGTCAGGCATTTCGGAAGAAATGAATCTTAGTCGGTATTCTCAGATTTGGTTTGCTGCTCCTCCTCTGGGCTGGTTCAAAATCTCAATTACTTTCGTTGATAAGTGCCGGACCGAGGGCGACCCGCATGTCGGCCCACGATAAGGAAACGTTTGGTTCGTTTCCAGAGGAGGGTTGGTCGGTCGCCCGCCACCGTTCCCGGTTCCCGTTCGTTCACGGCTGTTGATAAACCAAATTTAGCTGCACAGTATTTAGTTTTAGCACTCTGACAAGAGCCACGTAATGGTATTGTACGCGGGGGCTCTATTTCACTGGCGATAAGTAGACGGACGGATCGGCTAGGCGGCATGCCACGCAGGCAAAATCTGAAAGCCAGTGATAGCTGTGCTGATAAGAACAACCTGTGCGACCGATGGCCACTGGCGATTCACCAGTAGATATCTAGAAATTAAGTTGCTATCAGTCGCTTTTTGCTTGGGTGAAAGGTTGGGACCGGACCAGTGCTGAAAGCCGAAGCCAGAGAGATCGAGGAGCAAACCCAGACCGTGCACTTGCACGAGAGAGCCGTTTTCTAAGCCAATGCCCAACGAGTTCCGTAGCCTACATTCTCCACCTCTTGCCCAGAAGAACAACAAAGATGTGGGGCTGCCACTATCGCTCCCCTCACACACACACACAAACTCACTTGTGTGTCGTGTAGCGCATGTCTGTGTGTGCTCGAAAAATGTGTCAAAAGAAGAAACCAGCGATGGAGGAAGAGAGAGCACGAGCAAGAGCAAGAGCAAGAAAGAGAGCTTGACGAAGTAACTGAACGGAGCGGGATGTGGGGGCCCAGTGAGTGCCAGGCCAGTGCCATATAAAACCGGATGATAGCCGGCAACTACATACAACAAAGCGATCGGATCGACAGTGTATGCGCACATTTTTGTGTCGCTCTCCGCCTTTGTGTTGGTGCCTTGGCACCTTTCTAGCAGCATTTCTGCTGCTGCTGCTGCTGGTGCCGTTGCTGTTGCCGTAGCCGTTCGAGAAGGCAAGGCACAGGTAAGGCGAATACATTGATATGCACAAATGTACACACACTTGTACGTATGTATGTATGCAAGTGCAGAGGCATGTAACGCCTGTAGCGAAGCTGACGTCGACAAATGAAGACAAAGCACAGTGCGCTGCGCTGCTAAAGTTCAGCTTTAAAAATTGGTATGCACATATCGAACTTTTGTGTTGAGTGATTCTCATCCAAGCCCTGGGTCCGGCGTTCGCTTGGCGGTGGGCATGGAAGATGGTGCTGAAAACCCCTTTACGTAGTCAGTTTTTAGACACGGAACAACCGTTCATTTTTGGTTCGGCATTCTTGGCCAAAGAGCTGATCCACACACACACACACAAAAACACACACGACTGCGGCATTTGAAATGGTAAATTATGCAAATTAACATACAATCCGACGGTGTTTCGATCTGAATTTTTTTTTCGGTTAGGGGAGGGGAGGGAATGTTGTTTAACTTACTGTACTGTAAAATCCAAAAAATCCGGCCTAGTTAGTCTCCTTTGACAAAATCCAGTTTGATAACTTGGCGTGTCTGCTGGAAGACATACAATCAAAAGAACAGAGTAATTAGCAGATGCACATCTTCATCAGTTGCCGGATGCGTTGAAAGCTCTACGCGGAGCATGTTCTATCGAGTATGTTGCGCTTCTCTGCGAGAGGCGGAAGGAAGAAGTGCACAGATTTATGTGTTATGCGGGGGTTCGGGGCGGAGTGTAGTATGCGGGCCACTTATTGGACAATTGTTTTTGTCGGCGCAAAAGTGGAGCACACAATGGCGTAGGCGTACGCGTGGGCGGAAGCAGGCGCCGTATGGCTGTGGCAAGCCGAAATCAGGTGAACGGTTTTAACCATAGCCAGCCTCCCAGCCAATCCTCCTCACAAAATACTTTAGTAAGCCCACCATCTGCCTGTGCTGGTCTGGGCGCTGCGACGATGAGTCGAGATGTGATGGATTGGATTGGAATGGAATGGGTTCCATTGAACTTTTGTGATGGCTTCAAACTCAAAACGGATAGAATACGAATTTGGGAAAGCTTCAAATCGTGCCATCCGCCAAGGAACAGCACGCTCGCTTTTCAATCGGACAGATTATACATAGATGTACCTATGTACAGGCAGGCATACATATGCATATGTTCATACTATGTATGTTTTCTACACTGTGTGCGTGGACGACAACGCCATCTCCGTTTCCGTCCCCACCACCGTCTTCAGCGGTGCGACTGATGGTGTGTGCCTTTGTGTGAGTGAGCGCGAGTGCGAGTGCGGAGCGCCGCCCGTGCCAGTTGCTGCGACCAGACCATTATCAAGCATTGAAAAAAACACGTTGTTTTTTGCAGACATTTTTTTCTTAGAGAATTTCGCACTGCACGGGAAACACGAGCGGCAAGCGCTTAATTTACATGCAGCCCAGACTCCTCCTCTCCTCCACGTTGCCAATTCGCGAAGAAAAAGGTGTTGCGGAGCGGCGCGGCCTAAATTTTCGCTGCTGTCACCACCGCCGCCTGCTCCATCAAGCCCTTCATAACTGTAAATTTATGCACTTTCTTGCTGTAACTTATGCAATTCAAGATGCACATTGGATTGCACTCGAATTTTGTATGTTATTTGGGGTTTTAGCCACAGATCTGTCACCCAGACTTTCTATTAGAAATGCAACACGCCCGGACCACGAAATTACCGACCAAGTAAAAAAAGTAAAGAGTGAAGCGAACGTGGCAAATAGTGATGGCCAACATGCCATTCTGTTGGCAATCGGAAATTCATAAAAATTATCGAGAAGGGACGGGAACGACTATCGATAGTATCGATAGACTATCGTTAGGTGGAACATCTCATGAGCAATCGTTTGATTCTGCTGGGTTTACTACAACTCTCTTTACAAATACCATAATATATTGTTAGAATATACTGGGTGTGAGAACTCAAATTTTAATATTTGGCTGATCTGGCTCATGATGTGCTTCGACCCGATGAAAAGCTGAGATCTCCCAGAGCCGAAGACACTTCCTGGAGCTCTCGCTTTAAAGTATTGGGGGGAACAATCGGCCAGGGACGACGAAAGCGACTATCGATAGTCGAGTAACTGATAGTTAGGCTGCCACCTCTAGCTACCAAACACAAAGGGTAAAAACACCCCAAATCTGTGGAATATCCGGAAGTTTACCTATTTATTTATTTGACGATCAAGCAAACACAACAGACGCAATATGTCAAAGCTTAAGAAATTGCTGCCTAACATATTTGGCGGTAGCAAGGAGGCAGAAAGCATGCAGTCTGAGGGGCGACTGGAAGCAGATGCAGCGCCTGTCAGTGATAGCGAGGCAGATAACAACAATATTGGAGCCTTGTCGCTGCCATCCATCAGCACCCCGACCGCCTCAGCGGATCTGACGGAATCGGTGTTGCGGGAGCTGTCCGACCCAAACTACAACTCAATGGATGTTGTGCAATCCGCAAACATTCCTGGTGCAGGCGGGGACCTCAGCACAGTCAACACGAATAACACCATGAACGTCCACAGCGCACAGCAACAGGTGGTTATGAACTTCTCGAATGCAAGCAATCTACACTTTGGCTCCGTGTACAACCTTAACCAAAATCTAAGCGCCAGCAGCTCGCGAAAGAGCAGTATAAGCACAACTGACGAGGTGGCCGTCACTCCAGATGGTAAACGTTCAATTGGTACGCGCAAGACTGTCAGCATTGTGGCCATGATGCAGTCTCAGGATGATCCGGATCCGCGGCTACTGGATGCAGTGGCTACCCATTTGGGCGAGGGATGGAAGCAGGTGATGCGAGACTTGGGACATTCCGAGGGCCAGATTGACCAAGCCATAATTGATCATCAAATGCACGGCAATATCAAAGAGGTGAAACATTCGAAACTCTACGATTTCCAGTCGATGACGACGCTTTTGTTTTTTTCTCTAGGTGATTTACCAACTTCTGCTCCAGTGGGTTCGGAGCTCTGAGAGCGGCGTTGCTACAGTCGGACGTCTGACCACGCTGCTTTGGGAATCACAGCATCGCGAGTGCGTTCAGCGCTTGAAACTGGTTTGGAAGGCATTGGAGAAACGCAAGACGAACAGCTAGCTGGTTTGATATCAAAAAGTCGACTCCCTAAACAAAACCAAGATGATCTATTCGATGCACTCTTTCAACGACCAAACCGCTTGGATCTCTCCAAGATGTTCAATAAGGACCCACATAGTCTACATATATGAACGAGAATGGGACCTCTATTGTCATTAAACTACATATCTGTGCAATATTTGTTAAAAATAATCAAAACCTTCGAATAAGTACATGGAACTCTGTCCAACATCATTTCTAAATCAGTTTAACTTTATCTTTAAGGTGTGATATTTATACCGTAAAAGGACCCACATAAACACAAACATATGGTATGTACTATAAATTGGATCTAGAATTTTGGAGTACCATTCACGAAACGTTTTATTGCATAATCAAGAAACCGGAACGCCTCATCTTAAGTTCAACCTTGGCTGATAAGCTTTCTTCACGCAAAGTCAGACGATCTTTGTGATTTTAGCATTGAACATGTCAATCAACATCTGTGCACCGTTGCCGTTGATCGTCTGGTAGTTTTGTCTTCCGGTCATTCGGCTCAACCAAGCGCTGAGTCCTGGAAAGCTCTTGGGCTCGATGGGTGCCAGGCCCACCAAGCTGGACACCGACGACACCACACTAAAATCTGCAATGGTTATGCCGGCTCCACCCAGGTACAACTCGACGCCAAGAAAGGCTTCCAAAAAGGCATAGGCTTCGTAGATTGCGTCAATCTTGGATCTCGGAACTTCCGTCTCATCGCGGTAGAACAGGGGAAGTGCTATATTCCTGATGCAGTTCTGGAAAAGTACAGCCGATTCAAAGTGCATGCGTTGATCCACAACGGCGCGCTTGAAGAAGTCCTTGGGATACAGGGCGTCGTCCTTGGCATACTTCCGCACCAGATAGGCGCAGATGGCGTGACTCTCCCAAATATATCGTCCATCATCCTCCAGCATGGGCACCGTGTGCTGGGGATTCTTCAGCTTGAACTCCTTGGTCTTGTTCTCACCAGCCAGCAGGTTAACCAGCTTGTATTCATACTGAAGATTCAAAGCATCCAATGTCAGTTTGCAGGCCCTCACAGGTGGGCTTGGGTCCAAGCCGTACAGCACTAGTTTTCCCATAATTTGTTGTCGTGTTCCCGTGTCGTGTACAAGCTGCGATTGTCAATTTGAAACTAAACCAAGCATGTGTACCCTACCTCTCCATCTACCTAGCGCTCTCAATCGAGCTTTGTGTTTAAATTAATTACATGTGAATATAAATTCAAGTGTATTCGTATTTGTGTGCACGGTATACTTTATGTATTATTACTCTTAAGTTTGGCAAAATAGAGCTTTTCAGACTGAATTGTTTGCCCCAGATGCAGTGGCTGTCGTCGTCGGCCTACCTGACCTCGAGTGATTCTAGCTTACGTAATCCAGATTGTTGTGTCTTACCTGTATTCGCTCCTTATCATACCCGAACTACATACATATATAATTATACATACTCAATGTATTACAGTCGAGTACTGAGATTATAAAAAAGATATTCGGTACTCAGATTTATAAAATAGATTTAATCAGTATTCTCTCCGCCAATAGCCGAGTCGATAGAGCCATGTCTGTCTGTCCGTCCGTCTTGTTGAGCGCCTGGATTTCAGAGACTATAAAAGCGAGAGCCACCAAATTTTGCATCCAGACTTCTGCATATCCACACTGTTACAAGTGTATTTCGAAAATGAGCCCCACTCCTTCCGCCGCCACAAAAGGGCGAAAATCTCCCACAGCCACAATTTTGAAAATAAAAGAAAACTAAAAACGCAATTCGGTAGGGGAAGACCATATCTTTCAGATCACCGAATTGGGTGATTGGTCAGATTGGATCATTATTATCCCACTATTAACCCTCTCATTCACACTCTGCTTCTGCAGTGTGCGGCCTGTGCTTCTGCCGTGCCTCTGCAGCGTGCGGCTCTGGAAGAGGGGGGGTGATCTAAAGGAGCTTGTTGGCGTGAGAAGTGTTGTAGATGTAGATGACAGGTGTAGAAAAAATGTAAAATGTAAAATGAAAAATTAAAAAAAAAAAAACGAGAAGGGACGTATAAACGCTCAGTACTGCATCAGCACCTCAGCGGTATTTGTAAAATTTTACATTTTTTCTTCATCTGTCATCTATGAACATCTACAACACTTCTCACGCCAACACGCTCCTTAAGCTCGCCCCCCTTCCCTAGATCCACACACTACAGAGGCAGTGGCCGCACACAGCAGAAGCAGAGTGTGAATGAGAGAATGTGAAATACAACAAATTTCTTCATTCTGGCTATAATAATGGTCCAATAGGATCCCCATTCGGTGATCTGATAAATATGGTCATTCCCTACGGAATGGTGTTTTTAATTTTCTTTTATCTTCAAAATTGTAGGTTTGGTAGGTTTTCGCCCTTTTTGCAGGGGCGGAGGGGGGTGGGTCTCATTTTTGAAATAAACTTGTAACAGTGTGAGCATACAGAAGTCTGGATGCAACATTTTGTTGCTCTAGCTTTTATGGCCTCTGAGATCCAGGCGCTCAACAAGACGGACGGACAGACGGACGGACAGACAGACATGGCTCAATCGACTCGGCTATTGATGATGATCAATAATATATATATACTTTATGGGGTCGAAACGTTTCCTTCTGTGCGTTACATACATTCACTTTGTGCACAAATACAATATACCCTATTTACTCTTCGAGTACCGGGCATAACAATATGGTACAGGTACACTGACGGAGTACCGGGTATAAAAGGTGTGACGCGTCACACGTCCCTTCTCGTTTGGCTCTTGGTTCATTCGCTATCGCATAGATAAGCATTCTTATCTGATCGTTTGAAATCGGTTGCCCAGAACCAACTAAAATGGAATTCATATGTTGTTTGCTCGTAACATCAGACAGATTGTAGAACAATAATTACGTGTAACTCGTAAATGGTTGAGAATGGCTCTCTTTTTCCATTATATTATCTATGGTTTGCCCAAAACCCATAGGAATCTATTCGAAATGTTATCTATTCAATTTATTGTGACTCGAATAAATTTACATTTGGATCAGGACGCGAAGCTTAAATTTGACTGCTTAATAAGGGATATAAATTCCTGGGCACCCTTGCCATTGGCCTCCTCATAGTATGGGAGCTGTTCCAGACGTTTGATCCAGGCAATGATTCTCACATATTTGGCGTGATCGAGGTCCACAAAGGCCACCAGAGAACTAATGGTTGAAACAATGCTAAAATCCGCGATGGTCAGCTGATTTCCCGCAATGTAGTCCTGGTCCTTTAGGAAAGTTTCCACGAAGTCGTAGATCTCGATAATGGCTTGCTTTCGTTCTTTGGGCGCTATTTTCTGATTATAGAAAAACAGAGGAATCGTTATGCTTCTCAGGCCATCTGCAAAGGCCACTCCGCTCTCAAAATGTAGACGCTGATCGACCACTGCCCGTTGCAACAAGTCCTTGGGGTACAAACTGTCACTGTCGGCATATTTGGACACCAGGTAGGCAATAATTGCGTGCGAGTCCCAAAGGTAGTGGCCGTCATCCGCCAAAGTGGGCACCGTGTGCTGTGGATTCTTCTTCAAAAACTCGGGAGAGAGATTTGCGCGGGCCGCGAGATCGACTTTCACATAGTCGTAGGGCAGGTTCAGGGCAGCCAGCGTCAGCTTAACAGCTCGCACTGGTGGACTGCCATCTATTCCGTACAATGTTAGCTTTACCATATTGTCGTCAGAGAGCTTGGAATGCTAATGATAAGCTGACAGCTGGAAACCAACCTTTTTGTATAGCGTTTTGGCCAGGAAACGGTGAGATGGCGAAAAATTTGTCTCCACAATAGATCAGAGAATTGTGAAATAATACAGTTCGACTGTCTATTTTTACATGGAATATGCAATATACATACACATTTACATACAATAGCAGAGTAAAAAGGAAAATTGAATACAAGTAAAGCCTCATTGCGACTAACAACTAGAAGAGAAGAGAAGCGAAGAGAAGAGAAGAGAAGAGAAAGAGTATTTATGCGGCCTAAGAGAGTGCCACATTGAAGAGTAGACAAAGAGAGTAAAGCGTAGCATTTGAAAGTGCTGAGTCATTATTAATTGCCGAAAATTCGCCTTCCGACAGATGAGCGGCCAGAAGAACACCCGCATAGCGCGATAAGGAAATATCATGTGTTTGTGCTGCGATTCGGAAGTAAAGCCCATTACTTAGATAAGACTGCACTCTACCTTCTGTTTTCTTTCATATGTTTGTTATGTGCAATTGGAACCTACAGGTGCTGGGTAAAACAATATCGTTAGCTATGTGTATGTACATACATACACTCCCAATCAGACGAATAGACTCACGAGTTTTCAAAAAGAAAAAAGTTTCTAAAAATCCAGCAACGAATGACAGTGGAGCAAATTTATTTTTCCATTAATCAAGATTCTTTTCCTTATTTTAAAATTAAAGAATTCGACTTCTAAGTGAAAAGGTTTTTTTAGAAACTTTTTTATTTTTGAACTCTTTTATTTTGATTAGAGGTGTATGTATGTGTATATGTATATATCTCCAAACATGCTTAGCTCCAGCTGTTTGTTCAGATCAGCATTCGCATTAATCGAATGTTTGGATTTGGTGGCTTTGCCCAGAAAAAACTAAAATGGAATTGAAATTGTTGTTCGCTCGTCAACTCGTCATTTGTTGACAACTGCTTTTAGATGTGTTGATAAGTCTCTCTCTTTCCATTATCTCTGGTTTAGACCACAACCAGTGGGGTCTGATAATAAAAATTTGTATCTCATTCGAAATAATTTGTCTCTTAATTTATTTATGATTCGAATACAGAAGCATATAAGTAATATATTAATCGGACGCGAAGGTGAAATTTGTCTTCTTGAACATGGGTATCAATTCCTTAATACCCTTGCCATTGGCCTCCTCGTAGTAAGGGAGTTCCTTCAGCCGTTTGATCCAGGCACTAACTCTCGCATATTTAGCGTGATCGATAGTCACTAAAACATCCAGCGAGGTGATGGTTGAAATAAGGCTAAAGTCCGCGATGGTCAGCTGATTTCCCGCAATGTAGTCCTGGTCCTTTAGGAAAGTTTCCACGAAGTCGTAGATCTCGATAATGGCTTGCTTTCGTTCTTTGGGCACCACTTTCTGATTTAAGAACAACACAGGCTTTGAGATGCTCCTCAGGCCATCGGCAAAGACCACTCCGCTCTCAAAATGTAGACGCTGATCGACCACGGCCCGTTGCAACAAGTCCTTGGGGTACAAACTGTCACTGTCGGCATATTTGGACACCAGGTAGGCAATAATTGCGTGCGAGTCCCAAAGGTAGTGGCCGTCATCCTCCAAAGTGGGCACCGTGTGCTGTGGATTCTTCTTCAAAAAGTCGGGTAAAATATGTGCGCGGCCCATGAGATCGACTTTCACAAAGTCGTAGGGCAGGTTCAAGGCAGCCAGCGTCAGCTTCACAGCTCGCACTGGTGGGCTAATTTCAATTCCGTACAATGTTAACTTTACCATGTTGTCGTTCGGGGACTTGGCACACCAATGATCAGCGAACAGATGGAAGCCCACCGTTTTATAGAGCTTTATGTTAGAGAAGCGATCTCAGTCGCGATGAGAAAATCGTTCCCACAATAGTACAGAGAATGGTGAAATAGTGAGGCTGGACTGTCTAATTTGTATACCCGGTACTCGAAGAGTAAATAGGGTATATTGTATTTGTGGGGAATAATGGTTGTATGTAACGCACAGAAGGAAACGTTTCCGACCCCATAAAGTATATATATTCTTGATCAGCATCAATAGCCGAGTCGATAGAGCCATGTCTGTCTGTCCGTCCGTCCGACTTGTTTGTCGGCTAGTTCTCAGAGACTATAAGAGCTAGAGCCACCAAATTTTACATCCAGACTGCTATATGCTCACACTGAAACCAGTGTAGCCCCGCCCGCTTCCGCCTACGCAAAAGGGCGAAAACCTCCCAAACCTACAGTTTTGAAGATAAAAGAAAACTAAAAACGCCATTCCGTAGGGAATGGCCATATCTATCAGATCACCAAATTGGGATCTGATTGGATCATTATTATAGCCACAATGGAGAAATTAATTTCCAGAGGCTAAACCCACCCTGCCCCGCAGCTTTTGTTGTTCTTTTTCCATTCTCTCATTCACACTCTGCTTCTGCTTCACTCGGCCTCTGCCTCTGCCGTCCCTCTGCCTCTGCCTCTGCCGACTTTTAACCCACCCCGTCCCGCAGCTTACATTTGTTTTTTTTTTGTGTGCGGGCGCTGCCTCTGCCACTGCCGCGAGTCTGCAGTGTGTGGGTCTAGGGAAGGGCGGCTAAAGGAAGACCTAAAGGAGCGTGTTGTTGTGAGAAGTGTTGTAGATAGAGATGACAGTTGAACAAAAAATTTAAAATTTGACAAAACACCGCTTAGGTGCAGATGTAGTCCTGAGTGCCGGGTATAAAAGTTGTGACGCGTAAGAAGCGCTCCACACGTCCCTTCTCGTTTTATGTAAATCCAATAGCTGAGGTCAAAGTGCAATTTAATACAAGCAAAGCCACATTGCAGTCACCCCACAACGAGCTGTAATTCTCAAAGAGAACCAGTATCCATGCGGCCAAAGAGAATGCTGCAATGAAGAATAGACAAGAGAGTAAAATATAATATAAAATTCATACATATGTACATATGTATGTTTGCATTGTATTTGTGCATGTACATACATATGTCCGTACATATGTTTATATGAATAAGCAGTAATTGTTGATTTTCGATAACTGACTTGACCGAAGAAGAGCGTCCAGAAGAACGCAGAGAGCGATAAGGAATTACCAGTTGTTTGTGCAGCGATTCTCAATTAAGTCTAAACAATCAATGAACACGAGTGAGACTGCCCTGTCTGGAAACAGGGACAAGTTATGGATTTGCAATTTATTGGACATTTTATGGCGTGTGGAAAATTGCAGTTGTATTGCAAAAATAACCTTCTGTCTAGAAAGCTTTGCATTTGGTTGAGCTCTCTCTCTCTCTCTCTCTCTCTCTCTCTCTCTGAAGTTATCGAATAGTGTTTGTTCTCGAGAACTTTCCCTGCACTATTCATTTACATACATATACATACATACGTACATATGTACGAGTATATAATGTAAATTCGCAATTGTTTAATAGAAACGTATGTATATGTATATGTACAGAGACCCATTAGATTTAAGGTCAGCTATAAAGAGTTTGGGGAATGGGCGAATATATTTATTTATTGAGAAATCTTGGTTTAGACAATTGTAAACTTTTTGCTCGTAAAAAAGGCCACACACTGCTCGAGTCGTTTGCCGTTGCCTTCGGCGTAGTATGGCAGCTGGGCAATGCGCTGCATCCAGGCGGACAGCGTTGGAAACTTGCCGGCAGCAACCGGCAGGAAAATCTCAATGGTGGACAGGATGGCGATGATGTGAAAATCGGCAATAGTCAGCTGCTTCCCAGCGATGTATTCGTTAATGGTCAGGAATGTCTCCAGAGTTGCGTACACGTCCTCAAGGGCGTCGATTCTGGCCCTGGGGATTTCCGTCTCGTTCAGACGAAACAGCGGAAAGGTTATGGCCCGCAGGGTGCTACCCACAACGCTGGAGTCGTAGTGCAAACGCTGATCTACCATCGCCCGCTGTTGCAGGTCCTTGGGGTAGAGAGAGTCGTCCTTGCCGTACTTGGCCACGAGGTAGGCATTAATGGCGTGACTGTCGTACACGTAGAAGCCATCGTCGTCCAGTGTGGGCACGGTGTGCAGGGGGTTCATCGTGAGGAATTCCGGCCTGAGCTGCTCCTTGGCCATCAGATTGACCACCTTGTACTCGAAGGGCAACTCCAGGGCGTTCAGTGTGAGGAGCACCGATCGAACCGGAGGGCTGGCATCGATGCCATAGAGTATCAGCTTTTCCATTCTGGCTCGAAGTGAATAAAGCTAATGGTTGCACTCTCTACTTATTCTCGCTTGTTGAGTCTATTTAGTTTGTTGCGGGGAGAGAGCTTCGATGAGAGCTACTGCAAAGCTCTGTGCACTGAGGAGGTGTTCTCTGGTGCTCGTTGGAGTGCTCGAACTAGGGGTTTAACGCTTGCTGCGTGCTCTCTGTGTGTGTCTGGGTTCGCCGATGTTTGGTCTAGGGCACGACTGTGAAGTTCTTGGACTTCATGAGCTGCATGAACTGTGCGGCTCCACTGCCGTTGGCCTCCTCATAGTAGGGCAGCTCCTTGAGGCGCTCCAGCCAGGCGGCTATCTTGGGATACTTCACCGGGTCAAGCTCTAAGTAGACGCCGAGCGAACTGATGGTCGACACAATGCTGAAGTCGGCAATAGTCAGGTGATCGCCGGCCACAAAGTCGTGCTCCAGAAACGTTTCCAGAAAGTCGTAGACCTCGTTGATGTAGTCTACATTCGCCTGAGGCAAGGTGGTGCCGCCCAAGAAGAGCACCGGCCTTGTGAGGCGACGCAGGGCCGCCTCGAAGATGACCCCCGACTCGAAGTGCATTCGCTGGTCGACCACTGCCCGCTGCAGCAGATCTTTGGGGTAAAGATCGTCGGTCTCCGCGTACTTTCCCACGAGGTAGGCCATGATGGCATGCGAGTCCCATAGGTAGGCATCATCGTCCTGCAGCATTGGCACAGTGTGCTGGGGATTCTTCTTCAGATAGTCCTCGGCGAAGTTCTCTTTCGTAAGGAGATTCACGAAAACATACTCAAAGGGCAGCTCCAACGCCTTCAGTGTGAGCAGGCAAGCCCGGGTTGGGGGACTGGCGTCCAGACCGTACAACGCAAGCTTACCCATGGTCGAACGGCAGATAACTGATTGGCAGGTCCCGTCCAGAACCTCTTTTATACTGCTCCAGAGCATGGGAACTGTCAACCAGCTGATGAATATTTAATATGTCCTACCCAGGGTGCCCCAGCCGTGTCACCCGTTTCACCAACTCCCAAGTCAGTTGGCATGGAAAAGTTATTGTTAACAAATTATATTTCTTCTTTAATTAGATGCGATTAAAAATTCATGAAACACCGAACAACTGGTGTGGCAGTACACTGCAAGACAACCATGTCGTCCTCGGAATGTCCACGGACCACGTACCTTCTAGATTCAATGGCATCATCCTGCCCATAATGGGTGTGTTCTGATAAGCGCCTCTTCCGCCTAACAAATCAAATAAGCTTGAGGCAATAGTCAGATTAAAGCTGGACAGACCTTAAAATGTCTCAAAATTGCTATTAGAGGCCATCATTTTTGTGTCCTCCGGCTTGAGTTGTTTACCAGGTCGAGTATTACTCAGAGAAAACCCCAAATCACATCTTCTCTGTGGCTATTACTCACAGATATAACTGGATTGTTCAAAGTTTAATGGGACATTATAGAGGCTATAAGCTCTCTTCACAGTAAATCGATAGAAATAGAAGCAAAGAGCCTAAATATAAATAAATATATACACGTATTGAATTTAAATATTGACTCACGCTTAATAACTAGGCATCTTTAAAGCGTGTAACAACTTTTTCTCTTTATATTTACTCTCAGACCAATATGCTGGAGGCTCTAGTTATAAGTTATAGCTGGTAAATGGTGATTATAACTGAAGATAAACACATACCACTCTTTATAAATATATTACATTTATTCAATGCGGCTAAATTTATGAAAATATGACTATGTTCTACGTATTATTTTTTAAGTGGATCTCAGACAATTTTGAAGTTCTTGCTCTTGATGAAGTTTGTGAACTGAGACACTTTCGATCCGTTGACCTCCTCGTAGTAGGGTAACTTTTTGATACGCTGAACCCAGCCTGCCAGATTGGGGAATTTTCTGGCATCCACTTCGAGGAAAATCGGAGTACCTGACAGGACAGCGATGACGCTGAAGTCGGCAATAGTCAGGTTATTTCCAGCCAAGTAATCGGTGGTCTTCAGAAACGTGTTCAGAGACTCGTAGACCCCCGAAAGGGCATCAATTTTGGCCTGCGGGATTTCAGTTTGGTTTTCCCTGATCAGGGGATATGTGATTGCCCTGACGGTGCTGCCAATTACACTGGAGTCGTAGTGCAAACGCTGGTCCACGATCGCCCGCTGCTGCAGGTCCTTGGGGTAGAGAGAGTCGTCCTTGCCGTACTTGGCCACGAGGTAGGTATTGATGGCGTGACTGTCGTACAAGTAGAAACCATCGTCGTCCAGTGTGGGCACTGTGTGCAGGGGGTTCATCTTGAGGAATTCCGGCTTAAGATGGTCGCCCCCAAGCAGATTGACCACCTTGTACTCGAACGGCAGCCCCAAGGCTTTCAAGGTGAGCAGCACAGAGCGCACTGGCGGACTAAGATCGATGCCGTAAAGAGTTAGTTTTCCCATATTGTTGCTTGGAGTTGAATAAGAGACTGTTGTTCACTCGTCCAGCACTCTGCCCTTTTATTTAGTCTCAAAAGAGGCGTTCCTTCCATGAAGAGAGCTTTGCAATGCTATGCTGACTCTGCACTTTATATGGCAGTGGAGCGTGCTCTCTCTTTCATGTCGAAATTCCCTCTTTGATGACGACGAGCTAAAGCTTTTTATACCCGGTACTCGAAGAGGAAATAGGGTGTATTTGTGCACAAAGTGAATGTATGTAACGCACAGAAGGAAACGTTTCCGACCCCATAAAGTATATATATTCTTGATCAGCATCAATAGCCGGTCGATTGAGCCATGTCTGTCTGTCCGTCCGTCCGTCTGTCCGTCCGTCCGACCGTCTTGTTGAGCGCCTGGATCACAGAGACCATAAAAGCTAGAGCCACCAAATTTTGCATCCAGACTTCTGTATGCTCACACTGTTACAAGTGTATTTCAAAAGTGAGCCCCGCCCCCGCAAAAGGGCGAAAACCACCCAAACCTACAATTTTGAAGATAAAAGAATATCTATCAGATTGGGACCAGACCAAATTGGGATCCGATTGGATCATTATTATGTCCACAATGAAGAAAATAATTTGCAGTGGCTAAACCCACCCTGTCCCGCAGCTTTTGTTGTTCTTTTCACACTCTGCTTCGCGCAGACACTGCCCTGACTCTGCCGTGTGTGGCTCTAGGGGAGGGTGGCGAGCTAAAGGAGCGTGTTGGCGTGTTGTTGATGTTGTTGATGTAGATGGCAGATGAAGAAAAATGTAGTACTGAGTGCCGGGTATAAAAGTTGTGACTCGTAAGAAGCGTCTCACACGTCCCTTCTCGTTCTACATTTTGTTTGTGTTTAATCTGTGATTTCGATTTCGACGACGCTCAAACTCAAGAAATGGAAGGCACTAGAACATCAACACACCATCCGGTTTCTTGGTTCATATTTCATGTTTACTTGATAGGTTTGATGTATTCCCCAACTATAGAAAATTGTTTAATATTGTTATCAATATTTTAAAAGAAAACGAGTGTGTAGCTTTTGTAACCGGTTTATTTGAAACAAACTTACTTCAGTGTGATGTCACATGAGTGACACACACACATCATTCGGTGACTCTAGCTCTCATAGTCTCTGATAAGTATTTAATTTGTTAAACGGCTATGTGTTACAGGATGGTCAAAGACCCCTTTAGCAGGCCAATGTACTTGTTTAAGCCTCGTAAGCTATCTTCCATATAGCTGGGCAGCTTTGAGATGCGTTCCAGCCATGCTGTGATCTTGGGATAATTTATGGGGTCGTGGTCAAGAACTGCGGCCAGCGAGGTGGCCGTTGCCGCACAGCAGAGGTCCGCCACGGTTAGCGCATCCCCAGTGACGTATGGACTGTCGCTCAGGAACTTCTCCAGGTGCCCATAGGCTTCGCGGACGTTGTCTACCTTCTCTTTCGGCACCAAACTCACACCGTGGATGAAGTAGGGAACACTAATGCTGCGCAGGGCCATGTACAAGATGCTTGCATCGAAGTACAAACGCTGATTGACATGGGCACGCTTCAGGAGGTCCTTGGGATAGAGCTCGTCCGACTTTCCGTACTTGTCGACCAAGTAGCAAACGATAGCGTGCGAGTCCCAAATAAGTGCACCGCCGTCATCGAGCAGCGGAACTGTGTGCTGGGGGTTCCTTTGCTGAAAATCTATGATCATATGCTCCCCTGCGAGGAGATTCACTTCCCTATACTCAAAGGCCAAGCCCAAGGCTCGCAGGGTCAGCAGACAGGCCCGCACCGGCGGACTTATATCCATTCCATACAGCACAATATTCGACATCACACGATCCAGGCAGACGAGAGGCCAAAAACCAAATGCCAACGTAACTAGGGAATAGTCGCGACTAAAAATTTGTGGGCCGTTGGCGAAGCTTCGCAAACGCTATGAAAGCGTCCCCAACTTGATTGAAATAAACAAACAATTGAATATGATTGACTTCATGCGCTTATTAAATAAACAAATAGATTCGGGTGGATTTTATTTATGCTTGCTCATCATATTTAGGCCCCCAGCTTTGTCCACTGGCTGCGGAGGAAGTCGCAGTAGCTCTTTGCTGGCGACTTGTTGATCTGCTCAAAGTAGGCAACTTTGTTGAGGCGTTCCAGCCAGGCAGTCACCTTGGGATACTCTGCGCTATCGATGTCGACGGCAGCGGGCAGAGAGGTCACTGTGGGTCCACAACAAAGATCGGCGAGTGTCAGCGTGTCGCCCACGAGGTAATTGCTGCTGCCCAGGAAGGCTTCCAGCAGCTTTAGGCCCGTGTGGATAGTGTCGAGCTTCTCTTGTGGCACCTCCTTCACTCCGTTCACCCAGAACGGTCGGCTCACATTGGCCAGCGATGGAAACAGGACACTGGCATCGAAGAACAGACGTTGGTTGATGGCGGCCCGCTTCGCCAGGTCCTTTGGATAGAGCTCATCAGACTTTCCATACTTGTCTACCAGGTAGCCGACTATGGCATGCGAGTCCCAGAGAATGGTTCCGTCGTCATCCAGCACTGGCACCGTGTGCTGGGGGTTCTTCTTCAGGAACTCCTCGCTTAGATGTTCTCCCTTCTGCAGGTTCACCTCCTTATACTCGTACGGCAGCTCCAGCGCCTTCAGCGTCAGCTGGACAGTCCGCACACATGGGCTCATGTCTATTCCATAGAGAACTATTTTACTCGACATTGTGCAGTGACTACCGAATTAAACGTTTGAATTGCGAATGATCTTACGTTCGCTGTCTGTTTTATATTACAGTTCTTATGTACATACACACAGAAAAACATATATCTGCGGAAAGCTCTGAAGCTCAAAGCGAAGGAGAGAGAATAGAGATAATGAAGATATCTCACTCTCTCTCTCTCTCTCTCTCTCTATGAAATCACATATATCTACATACATATGTACATATTTAAGTATGTTTGCATGCGTCTTGCGATTGTCCAGGTTAAGTTTCAATTTGCAAATCGATATATCCATTTATTTGAGTTTATTTATACTAGTACGATTTATCGCATCTCAGCTCCAATTCTCCATGCATTTCGCTAAGAAAATCCCTTGTTTTGTATACATATGTAAATGCACATATGTTCATATATTTAAGGTAGAGCTTCAAAGTTCCAAAAAGCCTAAAACATGCTTTTGAAACGTTTGAAACTTTGAAAGCTCTTTAAGCTTTACGTCCAAGCTACTTTCTTACACTGTCTATCGCCATTAATTTTCTTGTAGACTCTCAATTACTCTTTCGATGACTAAATTATTATTTTCAACACTATTTAGAGCGGACTTCTATCTAAAGAATCTATACTATTTATACAAGATACAATTTTAGTTTAAGGTTTCGGTTTGAACTTTATGAAAAGTGTTCAAGGCATGATTTCCATTAATTTTTATTTGAATCTGTGTTCCACTGTACATCATGCCGAGCACCACGGAGTGTGGTGGTACAACTGTAGTGGTAGACTGTACCCATTATGCTCACCTAAATCTTGTGGAAAGGTGAGCAAATATTGTGCTAGCCGTGGAGTAGGCCCGGGGGAAAGGGCCCATAGGCAGTAGTCGTGGTGCAACTTATCTGTGGCATTAATAAACAATCAGGCAAAACTTAAACTTGCAGCATTATGACGTCTTTGCGATGGATATCAAATTCTTTTCGGTATCTAATCTTATCTAGCCTAAAGTTTAAAATCAGTTTAATCACTGGCTGTGGCTGTGGCCGTGGCTGCCCTGATTCCGTGCGCTGCTGGTTGCTCAGTGTCTGTTCAGAATCTCAATCTACCAAGCCAGCGGCCCTTAACTTCTCCCAAATGGCTAACCTGGTTCTCTATGGCACGGAGACGAGTCCTCCGGTGCGGGCTGTCCTTCTAACACTGCGCGAGCTGCAGTTGGAGCACGAGTTCCGGCGTCTGGACATGCAGGCGGGGGAGCACTTGGAGCCGGAATTGCTGCGCAAGAACCCGCAGCACACGGTGCCCATGCTGGAGGATGGTGAGGCCTGCATCTGGGACTCCCACGCCATCATCGGCTATCTGGTGAACAAGTATGCCCAGGACGATGCCCTCTACCCCAAGGAACCATTGCAGCGGGCGGTGGTGGATCAGCGTCTGCACTTCGAGTCCGGTGTGCTCTTCCACGGCTGCTTCAAGCCTCTGCAGCGGGCCCTCTTCAAGGAGAATGCCACAGAAGTGCCCAAGGACAGGATAGCAGATCTCCATGCAGCGTACGATCTTCTGGAGCTGTTTCTGGGCGAGAATCCCTATCTGGCCGGCGGCCAACTGACAATCGCCGACTTTAGTGTGGTGGCCACCCTGAGCACGCTGCACCTGAGCTACTGTCCCGTGGAAGGCGCCAAGAACCCCAAGCTGTCCGCCTGGCTGGCCCGCCTCTCAGCCCTGCCCCACTACGAAGAGGACAACCTGCGTGGCGCCCGCCTGCTCGCGGACCGGGTGCGCGCCAAACTGCCCAAGCAGTTCGACAAGCTCTGGCAGAAGGCTTTCGAGGACATCAAGAGCGGAGCCGGCAAGCAGTAGCGCAGCAGTGGGCTCTCGTTGTGGTTCTCCGAACTGGCTGTTCCCTGCTCGCCTTTGTTGTTATACCTAAAACCTGTACATGAGTCCGAATAAAGTTCGCCTGTCCACTTTACTGCCCTCTGCTCTGCTCGGCTCCCTTATCAGTGCTCCTTGTCAAATGCACCTCCAGTGGCAACACAGTCCAAAACTTTCCAACTTTTTTGCGCTCATTAAAATTATAAAATTTCCCCCCACAAAGCGATACAAAATGTGTACATAGAAACCGGTCGGGAGAGGGCCGGGCCGGGAGTTGGGCTGGGGCTAGGCACGGTACGGATGAAAAGCGCAAAAGTTTTCCCTGCCGTGTCGTGCATGCTAAAGTTGTTAAATCATAATTAATTTATGACGGCGCCATCCGCCGAGTCCGCCTCACCTCCGCACCCCCTCCCTTAGTTACGGCTCTTATCTTCCCTCCCCTCCCCTTCCCTCCCCTACAGCCGCTCCACAGACTGTGCCGTCGTTTAAAATACTCTCAAAAAGCAACCCAGCGCCGTCTACCTGCCTGGTGGTGTAAGTAGTCCGATTTCCAAGCAAGTCTCCAGGAACCTGAACTAGTGATGCCATCGTCCTGTCATCGTTTGTCATCGCACACTTACGCAACTCACGGACCTCTGGCTGAGTTCTTCTCCGGATGAGTAAAATACTATTTTATAGATGTTTCCGAATTCTATTTCCTGTCCGTAAATTTGAATACGGAATACGGAATTACCGACAAAAGCGAACTATTTCCATTCCAAGGTATCTATTGTACTTATAATTTGTCTCGCATTACGATAAGTACCACCACTATGGTTCGTGACATCCATCCGGCACATATCTAGCACTTGGGAGTTACTACTGTGTTGGTCCTTATACCGCCTGGCTTTATGCGCTTCATTGCAGCTACGACATCCTCGAGGATGGTGGCGGGAAACTAATTGGTTTAATTTCAACTTTTACTTAAGACCTCCCTGTGCCTACCCGGCCAGTGCCCGTCCTCCTCTTTTCAAGGAATTTGCGAATTTGCTTTGCTTTACGCTTCGCCCGCCACTTCAATGTCGGGACGGGAATCTTTTTGGTTATACTTCCTACGTTTTTACTGCCTTCTTTTCGTTGGTTCGGTTTGTATCCTTGCCTCTCCATTCCGCTCCGAATGTGGCCAGAAGAGTACAGGCATGTCAACGTTGCAATTTGCTCTTGTGGCGGAGTACGTGGCTTAACAACTGAAGAAAACTCAACAAAAAACACTTAAAATTCCACAAATCGACCTTTTACCAAGTCGAATTCTACCAACAACATTCGTAAGTATTGAGTAAATAGCGCTTGGGAATGGAGTCTTGGGAAAGTCTAAGGGACTAAAATGTTTCCACCGAAATTAAAATGACAAGAAACAATACATATTTACATATGTATGTACATACGTACAAATCTTAAAATTTCTCGCAAAGTACTGAAAATATTCAATCGAAAATAAATGATAAAGATTCTACAAACGATACTTTATGCTCCTGAGTATCGGGTACTTTTCGCCAGCACACTGACCACGAAAATCGTCCAGGGACACGTCGTGGAAAGCCACTCCGCCAAGACCTTGAGCCTGAGAAAAGCCTGCCTTGATGGCCGCCGTTGTGGGATCTTCGTAGCCCACCCACAATCCATTTTGCCCGTTCTCATCTGCCGAGCGGTAGGCATAGATGCCGAACCGCTTCGTTGGATCGCCGACCTTTCGCAGGTGTGGAGCCTCCTTGTCCAGGGGCTGCTGCTGGAGCAGCTCACAAATCTCTGGCCAGCTGAGTAGTCCGGGAATTCCGGTTTGCTTGCCAGCTGGAGCAGCTCCGTCCGCTGCTGGTATGGGAGGATAACCAGTGATGCCAGAGTTCCTTGTCATATTCCAGGAGCGCCCGTAGCTGGCGATGCTGATGTGTAGTTGGCCCGCATTCGACCCGGATGTCTGGTTTAGCCAGTACTGGACCTGGTGCTGCACGCTGTGGGTGGGATCGCGGTCGTACATGGCATACAGTGGCGCGGGCAGATCGCCGACCTTGGGATCTCGTTCCGGTGTGTGGAAGTCATAGGTTCCCAGGTTCACAAAGTCCACATGCTCGAGCACCGAGGGAACGTCAATGAAAACTGTGAATGGAGGTAAGTTCAACGGAAGTGGATTCTGCTCTCAGTACTCACGCTCTGCATCGACGTGGGGCAGCATGCTGAGGGATAAGAGCTTGCCACTACGTTGCAAGTCCATTCGCAGCTCCCTGACAAGAGTGGCGAACTGCTCCCTGTGCTCTGGCGCTTTGCTGTCCACCGAAGCCACACTGAACCAGCCCCGGACTGCACTCCACGCCCTCTTCAGCACCCCCTGCTGCAGCTTGGGCCGATTCATGGGAAACTGCCATGCCAAGTCCAGGCCATCGAAGCCATAATTGCTGAGCTCGGCCACCACGCTCGCCCTGAAGCTGCTCCGATGTTCCGGCTGCTCCAGCACGTTCAAGTACTTTACGTTGTCTACCAAGCCCTCGGCGCTAAGATCCCGATTTCCGCCCACTGAGAGGAGGAATCGAACGTGGGGAAACTTTTGACGCAGGGCAGTTATTTTGCGGTAATGCTGGCGGTTGTAGCTCAGCTCCGGATCGAGACTCTTGATCTTGTGACTCTCTGCATCGATGCCTGCATAGCCGTAGACCAGAAAGTTGCAGAAACTGAGTGCAGGCTCCAGTTCAACGAGCGACAATTGTGCTGGACCTGACAGAGAGACAGATAACCTCTGATCGGTTTGGCACGCAAAGATTAGAAGTCCCAACTCACCTTCCCGCACAAAGCTTGCCGCTTCGTAGAAGCAAACCAGCTTTCCCACCTCAGCCATGCTGTCTTGCAGCAGGCACAGAAAGGAGCCGAGAATCAGAGCTCCGTAGAAGGAACGATGGGACAACATGATGACGTTTCGAACCACTATCCAGCGTGAAGATCTATTGCAAACTGATCAGGGACCTATGTAGGTTTGTTTTGATGAACCCCACTCTGAGCTGGAAAGCTTTGGCAAAACAGACAGACCTGATAAGGGGGTGTACGGGTACTCTGGGTGGTGTTCTAGATTTGAGCTAAGAAGCTCTAATTGTTTTTATTATTTCCGTTCGCATTCATCCAGTTTAGCTACTCTTATACAAATAATATATTTATACCCGGTACTCGATGAGTAAATAGGGCATATTGTATTCGTGCGAATAACGGTGGTATGTAACGCACAGAAGGAAGCGTTTCCGAACCCCAGAAAGTATATATATTTTGTTCAGCATCAAAAGCCGAGTCGATTGAGCCATGTCTGTCTGTCCGTCTGTCCGTCCGTCCGTCCGTCTGTCCGTCCGTCCGTCCGTCTTGTTGATCGCCTGGATCTCAGAAACCAGAAAAGCTAGAGCCACCAAGTTTTGCATCCAGACTTCTGTATTCTCACACTGTTACAAGTGTTTTTAAACAAAAGCTGCGACAAATCAGTTTCAACATATCTATCTATCTATACTACCGAAACATTATGTTACCTGTACCTGAAAGACGTAGTGTGTACATTAAATTTCAATACATTCTTGCACACTGAAATATTTTCAACTTTATGAGCTCAAGCCCAATGCAACTTTTCTTGAACGAGTATTGTTATTAGCATATCTTATAAAATTTTACTTAAACCATGTATCTCTTGGACGTTTTTCATACTCTGTAAAAACATTGGTTCACCCAAAGATTTTCAACTTATTTAGTTTAGTGGAGTAACGCAGCCATGCACTTGATCTTTGCTATAGCTCAAGCTTTACGCCAAGAAATCAAAAAATGTGCTTTTATTATTTTTAACTCCAAATCTGGATTTTAAATTAATATGCCGAATTTTACATTATATGTACATGTTGCGCATACAGAAGTTGCTCCGACAAGCGACACATTACATTCTGTGCAATTTTTCGATCGTAATTTTCAATGACTTTTTAGTGCAGCAATGAATTATTATAATTTGAACAATTGAAACTAAAGTTTATTTTCTGTTTGTTTCCCCGCGAACGGTTATGTGACGGTTATCACTTGCCCTTTTTCTTATTATACCCGGTACCAAAAGAATAAATAGGTTATGTTTTCTTGATCAGCATCAATAGACGAGCCATAATAACTATGTCTGTCTGTGCGTCCGTTCGTCCTGATGAGCGCCTAGTACTCAGAGACCAGAGTACTCCGACTCGCACTCAGTCACGCATTAGAATAGAATACCTTATTGTAACAAATGTAAACTTGGAGCTACTTTAATGAATATAAGTTCAGCATTGCTTAATAAATGTTCACATTGCCATCAAGCAATTATAAAACAACTACATACATGCATGCATATGTATCACACTAAGGTTACATATGTACATACATACATGCATATGAATACTGAGTACCGGGTAACAAAGTTATGACGAGTACGAAGTGTCTCACAAACGTTCCTACTGGTTTTAAAGTGCATACATAAACAAACATAAAGAACCTCTGCTAGCTTAAACATGAATTGGAGTTTATATTAATATTGTTCAATCCATCACTGAGCACTGATGAAGTGCTCTTGGTGAACGAACACAAAGCTACATAATTTAAAACCGGATACTAATGGAGTATAAACTTCAAACGCGACATTTATCTTCTTTAAGGAATAGGGAATAGCTGATAAAATGAATGCGCCGTGTTTTGGCACAACTGCATTCAATTGTAGGATTTATACCTCCCGTACAGACATTACATCAGTGAAATATACTTGCGGGCATTATTTGCCGCATGTGACATGTGCCGAAACTATTTCATTTACAAGCGTTCTACTCTTTGCGTGATTTAAAGCTTCCTGGAACAGTATTAAGCAATCCAACTTATAGTTTGGTGTGTCTAGTAAGTATGTTGCAACGCAATTAAATGACAAAACAAATGCAATAATCCATTTTTGCCAAGTTGAAATAACAAAACATTACGCTCGTGCTAGTACTGAGTACTAACTCTTAGAGAGACCTCTAAATTCTCTAACCAATGCACCATGCATTGCGAAGAAAAGTATTTTCGCGGTTATATTTTATAGTGTTTTTTTATAAAAAACCTTCAGACTGACGGACAGACAGACATGGCTCTATCGACTCGTCTATTGATGCTTATTTATAATATATATACTTTATGAGGTCGGAAACGTTGCCTTCTGCCCGTTATTCCTCACAAATACAATATACCCTATTTACTCTTCGGGTACCGGGTATAAAAAGAGAGACGAACAGAGTAAAAGGGGGCGCTTAATAAAACCACCAACATTCAAATTTAATGCAAGCTGCGAAACTTATTCGAATTGAAACACTCGTTATAGTTATACCAAGGAAGCTTTTATTGCATAACTAACACAAAGTAAAGGCATTTACATATGTGCATCTGTATGTAAATGTGTATGCATGCTGCTAATGGCTATGGCTTTAAGTGTAAGACAGCGGATGCCACAGAAAGTCTTTAATACCTGAATGCCCTCTTGACGGGGTGATTAACTTTGCCGAGTGACATGTGGCAGCTGTCCCAAACCTGTGGCACCCCACCACACTGCCACACCACAACGTAATTAAATTGTTAACGCACACGTGCCAGCCATGCGTACGGCCATACAAAGACACAAATAATACTCTCGTGCACGTGGATAGTCACATGCGTCTGTGTGGGGTTCATTTAACCGTAATGCTTTTTACGCTCACGAATGTTCCCAAAGAAACAACACGCTTGTGCAGCATAAGCCGCTCTCCCTCGCACACAAATGCACAGTTCGGTAATCCAGCTGGAGCTGGTGCTGGAGCTGGTGCTGGAGCTGGTGCTGGAGCTGGTACTGGAGCTTCGAGCTGGATGAGAGAGTTAAACCCTTTCGGTGTCCCAATCTGACTCTGTAGCAATCTCCCCAAAACCCACCCACACCACTCAAAATGCTTTTTACATGGTGCCCTTGGTTCGTTGTTTTATGCTATTGAATTGGGTAAACATATTTTTTGCAAACTAACATCGCAAAGGATAAGGATAAGAATATTTCGGATAGATATAGACCTGCTAGAGTATCAGAAGCCTCGGCCTCGGTGCTGCCCTTTTTGTGAATCATTCGCTTAATTGCCAACAATGTGCGCCAACCCACTCGTACAGACAGGAACTTTTGGGGGAAAAGTTAATTCAACCGCAGACACGTTCATTTACGAGTGTGTGCCTTCTGCGGAGTCGAACGCACATACCATTGAACCAGTTCAGTTTGAGCTCTCAGAGAGAGTCCTTCCAGGAGTTTCGAAACTTAAACAAACTCAACTTTCGTAAATAGTCAATGTTTATTTGGAAAGGGGCAAAGCCATTTTAAGCTTTACTTTATGCAGTTGCAGGAGCTTAGGGATTTGGTTTCCCTGTCTCTGATGAGTACTCAAATATAAGTATACACATTATATGTATGTACGTACACATGTGTGAATGTATATATTTATATATTTAAAGTAGCGTGGGCAGGCGGCTCTAGCTTTTTAATTACCTCTTAGACAGTTCCATGTATCAGGTATCAGCTGCATGTTCTGTTCAAATTCTAATAAATACTTGCAGCACAGTGTAGCAAATGCATATGAACAGTTTCAATATGTTCAACAGATCGTTTCGGGTTCTCCGGCAGCGAATAATCAAATATAATCAGAATCAAATCAAGACGCAATGGCCTCAGCTACAGCTTAGATTGCACTAACTAAATACATGAATCGAAAATGCGCAATTGCTGTAGCACCAGATGAGGTTAGAAAAGAGACCTGCTCGAGCCGGTCGACAGATTAGCTGCTGCCAAGTACCCAAATCATTTAAATCATGAAGTGGCTGTCGATTGCTTTCGTTCTGGGCCTTTGTGCCCTGGCTAGTGGTGAGTTGGAGACTCTGCTCTAAAGTCAAGAGGCAAGTCTCCACTAACATAGGTTATTTTTTTGTTTCTAGCCAACCCCCTGAGTCCTGGCAACGTGATCATCAACGGGGACTGCAAAGTTTGCAACATACGAGGCGACTAGGTCCTAGGTAAATGGCAATAACATTCAATAAACATTCAAAAATAAAATAAAATGAACGAAATACATTTCTGGTGCAGTTTATTTATCTATTCTCTTGGCCAGTATAGCCACTGCATCACCACGATCTTCTCTACGTTAGCCCCCGTGCACATTGCAACTACGGCAATCTCCGTTTATTATTACGTTTCCGGGCGTCAGCGGGGATGCTGTGGAAATAGAAAACAAGTTCACGTTAAGGATTTCACAGACCAAAACATAGTAATTCAAATTGTCGAACTGCTGACACAATAATGTGCAAAGGCTTTGTCAACTCACCACTGGCCAAAGCCAATAGACCCAAAACGAAGACCATAGAAATCCACTTCATATTTATTGCAATAGTCCAATCTCAACTGTGAGAGCTGCGGCTGATTTGGTTGTTTTTATAGGCAACGCCAACGAAATCGCAGTAATTGTCTGTAAAATAAATTTAAATCGGATTCATACGTATTCATATGTATGTACATATGTATGCATGTACGTGTGTATTTCTATGACGGTCAAAAGTCAAATCGGAATGGGAAATACCCCATAAACTGAATTTTCCCAATAGATAAGCCGCTGCACGTGCTTAAGCTCGGCAGAAAAGCTGCAGCTGCGACTGATCGAGTGATACAAAATAAAGCAAACGAGAAGGGACGTGTGAGACGCTTCTTACGCGTCACAGCTTTTATACCCGGTACTCAGTATAACATCTGTACCTTAACGCTTATTTTCATATTTTACATTTTTTTGTACATCTGTCATCAACATCTACATAACTTCTAACGCCAACGCGCTCCTTTGGCTCGCCCCCCTCCCCTAGAGCCACACACTACACGAAGCAGAGTGTGGATGAGAGAATGTGCAAAAAACAAATATAAATAAAACAAATCGCAGCCACTTCGAATTAATTTCTATAATAATGCTATAATAATGATCTAATCTGATCCCAATTCGGCGATATGATAGATAAAGTTCTTCCCTACAGAATGACGAAATTGTGGCTGTGAGAGTAATAAAATAGAGTATTCTTCTCTATTGAAATTGTCTGGCTCCGTTCGCTTATCTAGAATAACGTTTACATGGAACTTGCCAAGGCGAGAATAAATGTTTATTTATTATTTATTAAAGAATAATCAATTTTTATACATTCGAATCCATTATAATTACAATGGTATAAGTTTGGATCTATACGTATTTTCTCGTTTATCAGTGAACGATTGTTCTTGATTGATTCCTTGCGTAGCTGGTGTGAGGAGTATTCCTCTGACGCAACTAACTTTACATACAATGTATAGGATAATAGCTTTGATATTTGATGTTTTTTATTCATATTCATACTACACGTAGAACTAACTTAAAAGATGATATAGTGCTCCAAATAGTATGGCTCCAGATGTGAGAGCGTAGGACATTGCTCCCGACCTGGGTTCCTCGGGAATAACTATAGAATCGTCGCCATCTGGTCGATTGCAATCAATGCATTTTCCGTTAATGTACACCTTACCAGGCGTGGCTGCAAGTTAAACAAAGAAAGTTGTTTCCTCTGTCAATAGAGATGTCACCCACTAGAAATCACGATTTAATATCAATTACCGTTGACCACAGCCAGAAGGCAGCAAAGAAGCAGCACAGATAAGGCAAGTCCGATCGATTTCATACTCGGTTCGGGGATTGAACGGGATCTGTCTCCGAACGGGCGAGTGCGTTCTTCTTTTATATTGAAGCGGACTATAGTATCGATCTATATTTAAGCGAATACCCACAGAAATATATGTACATATGTACAATTGTGTTCAACAAACTAGTACCAACGCGCCTCATCACTTTTTTTCTTTTTTTTTTTTTGAGCCGTGTTATATTTCTATTTAAGATCTGTCAGACAAATATTAAAAATGTCCGCATTTGAACCACTGACGTTTGTTCTGTTCGGTTGTGGCAGCCAGATGAGAATTTAACGCTCAGCACCATGGCTTGTGCCATCACATTTAAAACTATTTTTAAGGCACTTTCAATACACAGGAAATCAGTTGTTCATTTACATAGTGGGGGTAAATGTTTAATTCACGAAATCCCCATCTGTAAACTTAATTTGGTTAGATATTTGAATAAGAGAGAATAAAGAATTTGTTGGACAGTAGAGAACCTCTAAGACTAGGACCTTAGACTAACAACTAAAAAAAAAAAATATGTATGCACTCACACTATTCAATTTCACCTAATTAACCATTCGAAGTAGACTAAGAGTCTTACTTGTACGTGAAGAGCTATTATTTTATTTGACTATCGAATAAGGTTAGAATCAAATATTATAAAATTCGTTAAATTAGTTAAAAACTAAATAATAAAGCTCAATAACATGTAGAACATGAATGGTTTTCCTTTTCGTTTCGGTATTTTCCTTTTCCTTAAATTCTCTCAAAAAACTAAACACTTTCATGTAAAATAAGAAGATGGAATTCAAATGTAACATTTTTTCGAGTTTTTCATGCGTTCATTTCAGGCTTTCTAAAAGAACTCCATTTGGGTCTCTGGAAATATCTCAAAAAAATGCGAAATGTGTGAGGTGCCGCACTACTATTTTATTGAACACAGTTGTGCAAACATACAAATGTGTGTATGTTTACTTATGTTTATACGAGTATATATGCACATAAAAAGTAAAATTGCTGGTTGATCAAATAGGGCCCCAGCCAAAGACTCTACATTTAATCAATTAAAAGGCTTAAGCCAAGTTTCCGATTAAAAGGTACCCTCAACTAGCACCACCATATATTGTATTAAAATATTAATAAATTTGACATCAAACGAAAAATAAACAAAATTCTACATATGTAAAAACCTTTTAGTAGGAAATCGCAAATAAATACAATAATTAAATTTTTAATTATTCAGTCGGTAGTACATTTTCAATGGCCGGAGAAGCAGATAACTGACTATGTAATGTAGGTACATACAGAGTCGGTCACAAGTATAGGTGTAGAAAATATATTTCAGTTGCAAAGATTTCAGAATTGTATACCTTCGAACATCTTTCAATATTTCCCTCAAACAAAAAAAACAGAAAAGTGGGATTAAAATTAAAATTTATTTTATATTCGATTAGAATTCAGTTTAAGGCTTAAGAATATTTTGTTATGTTATTTAATTTCTGGCGGTGTGCTCATTGTAGCCGATTGCAGTGGTCCATCTTCCTTTCCTCCGGCTGCGACCTTCTCAAGCCCTCACATTGCACACGCGGCAGTCGCCATTGATGATGACATTTCCAGGGTTCAGTGGCGTGGCTGTAGCGAAGCACATAGAAATATTAACAATTAATTTAATCGAAATACACTTTAGATGATTTTTGTTTCTACTCACCGTTAGCCAAAGCCGCCATCAGACCCAGGACAAAAGCAAGCGAAAGGAATTTCATTGTGGATTTGATTTGAAGTGCTCGGCGTGTTGACTCTAGAGAATTTGATGCAGGCAGGCAACTGATGCCAAATGCCAGATAGAGCAAAGCTTTTATACCCCCAGTTATGGAACTGGTACATACATATGCCGATTGCTCTTATCAGAAACAGCCGCAGCAGCGGGAAAAGGTTCCAGCGAAAGCATCGGTTCCAAGTGGGAATTTCCCAGAGCAGTGCCCAAGTGCAGTGCGACGTTCTCAATGAAATTGAGCGTAAACAACAACGGGACAGAGGCAATAGGCCGGGGCTATATTCGATTCACGTGCTAAGCTGAGATTTCAAACCTGATTCTGATTCTGTTCCACTTGGCGCCCCACTGGGATACTTCCCAGTAATAAGTCCACTTAAATTCCGATGAATAAAAAGCCGTGGAAATTGATAGTCAATCAATGGCCACACATTTTCTCAGTTAGCAAGCAAAACAGCTTTCAAAACAGAATAGTCAAATTTCAGAGTGTGTGTTTAAGAAGTTCCCGATATTACGAGGAGAAAAGACAAGCACAAAGAGAACGCGATGTCAGTCTGTTAGCTCAATGTCTAGTGCAAAATGTTTAGATTTCATAAAAATGTAGATTCAAATTAATCACTTCCTATTCAAAGTTAAAACAAAAAACCAAAAATACCCTAGATACCCTCCAGCCCTTCCTACAGCTTTGTTTATGCATGCACCCTCTGCCACTTGCAGTGTGTTGCTCTGGGGGACGGAGGTGAACTAAAAGTCGTATTGGTATGAGAAGTAATGTATGTATGTATGTATATAGATGTAGACGACTGGTGTAGAAAAAATTGAAATGTAAATGTGTTCATAAAAGTAGTAGTGCAGCTCCTCACCACTTTCAAAGCTTTTTTTTGAAACACTTTCCATCTTTCAAATAAACAAGTGATACTTCTTTGGTGATAATAGGCTGGAATGTAAGCAATACAAATCAGAAGAAACCCCATTACATGTGCAATCCATCTTCTTGCTTTCCATGAGGGCCGTGTCATAGTAAAACCGAGGAGGGACGTGTGAGACGCTTCTTACGCGTCACAACTTTTATACCCGGTTCTCAGTAGTACTTTTGTACCTTTGCGTTTTTTATACCCGGTACTCGAAGAGTAAATAGGGTGTATATTGTATTTGTGCACAAAGTGAATGTATGCAACACACAGTAGGAAAGGTTTCCGACCCCATAAGGTATATATATTCTTGATCAGCATCAATAGTCGAGTCGATAGAGCCATGTCTATCTGTCCGTCTGTTAGACAGACAGACATGACTCGGCTATTGATGCTGATCAAAAATATATATACTTTATGGGGCCGGAAACGTTTCCTTCTGTGCGTTACATACATACATTTGTACATCCGTTGTTCCCCACAAATACAATATACCCTATTTACTCTTCAAGTACCGGGTATAAAAACAACTTTTGACCAATTAGTGTAAAGTTGTATTATATGTTTAAAAATACCCAAGAGAATAAGTTTGTTGTTCCCCGATATCTGATTACTATCTAAATTCGTTAAAAAAAGGGTATTGAGCATGTTGGGTTGAGACTTATGAGACCCAGAAAATTTAAACTATTGTCTGATTGTCTATCGTTTGAGAAATTTTATAACATCTTTTAACGAGGAGAGGCGTGTGAGACGCTTCTTACTCGTCCCAACTTTTATACCCGGTACTCAGGAGTACTTCTGTACCTAAGTGACTTTCCAACCCCATAATATAGTATATATATTCTTGATCAGCATCAATAGCCGAGTCGACAGAGCCATGTCTGTCTGTCCGTCTGTCCGTCTGTCCGTTCGTCTGGACCGCTAAGGTACACATGTAGTACTGAGTACCGGGTATATAAGTTGTGACGCGTAAGAAGAGTCTCACACATCCCTTCTCGTGTTATTTTTAAATTTTACATTTCACATTTTTTCTACAAATGTCATCTAAGTACATCTACATCTACATCACATCCCACTTTCCCTCCGCCCCCCAGCACCTGCATAATCCGATTAGTCAATTCTGTCCTAACAGGATTCCAGTTAAATTCGCAGCTTTTTGTGCAATTAAAATAACTTTGAACGCCATTTATGTACGGGCTCTGTTTGGTTTTATATTTTTTGTTGTTTAACTGTTGTGTTGGTTCTAAGTTCTAGGCTTCATTTAAAGAAAGAGTTTGCATAAATATAGTGCCTTAAGTTTGAGGTATGTTATGGATCTATGGCCGTCGCTTGATCTTCGGGAGGGGCTGGGGCTGCCTACTTTCCTCCATGGACATTGCAGTACTTGCAGTCACCGTTGATGACCACATTGCCGGGATCGGGCGACAGGGGAACAGCTGAGCAGAGGGGAAAACATTATAGTATTGAAGACATCAAAGCCAGTTTAATGCGCTCAACTCACCATTGGCCAGGGCGAGCAGACCGATCACAAAAACGCTGACGACTGAGAAGAATTTCATATTGATTCTGTATTCTGGTTCTGCTCTATGGGCTAGTGCTGAATGGATTGGACTCAACTGATGCCGTCGAACAGTCGGCTGCGATCTTATATAGTCAGCTTAGCGTCGGGTCGAGTGCGCCCCACTCGAGCCTACTCGGATCAGGTGCATTGCCCGTTCAGATAACCCCCGACCAGACAGAGACCCGCTTGGGAAAACACAGCTCAAGCCGATAATATTTTTATTCTATTTTGCGTATTCGATTCTGGGTTTTCCAGTGCAAAGCCCACAGTGACAGTAAAAATAAATATTGAAAACGATCTCCTTGTTACATATGTACATACATATTTACATAACTACTATGAATTTCTAGTAATCCAACGTATTAGCCCCATCCCATTTGTGCACACTTTATCATGTACTTGTTTATATAGAATTGGCTTTTACTTTATGGCATACATGTACATGTATTACATTCAAGGTAAGTATTCGGATTTAAAATACCTGGAGCCCATGTACATCGTCATACATTAGCTCGCACAGACTTGAATTGAGATTGAAAATTGCTAATCTCAATGAGCAAAAGTCAATAATAGTTCAGCTTTGTCTAGAAAATACGAGTATGTGCGCATTCCAGTTCTATAAAATATATATTTACATTTCACGCCATACAGTTATGCATTTATTATAGAAAGATTACAGACATGTAGGCCGGAATAGCTCGATTGGGGTATAAAAGAAACGTGTCTGGCAGGGTGGGCAGTGCTCTAGTCCAGTGCACACGCGCATTATGAAGTACTTAACGCTGCTGTCTGTTTTCCTCTTGGCCACTTTGGCCTTTGTCCAAGGTCAGTGTCCGTTCGCAGCAGCGACTCCCCCGACCAGACGCGCCTAATCTCTTCCACTCTGCAGCTGGCAAGGTGACCATCAAAGGAGAATGCAAAGACTGTAACCATGACCGCACGACAACCACCACGCGTAGGCCAGTCTCCACCCGCGGAAATGGACGCCCGACCACGGCCAAGCCCAAGCCAAAGCCAGCACCGAGGCGCGGCAAACCAGTGTCGGATGAGGACGATGACGATTCGGCTGGTCAGTGGTCGTTGCACCAGTCAGCTGGCGGATCCCAGCACATAGGAAGACGCCACAGACGTCAGTGGGAGCCCCGTGGCCAGTACATCAATCTTGGCGGAGCCAGCGGCGGTGGGTGGTCAGGAGACGGCCGAGTGACTACCATCGATTCGCGGGGCTATCCAGGAACCCTTGTGCGCAACAATGACTGCGTCGGTTGCAACATTCGCGGTTGAGCCGGTGCACAGTGGGGTAGCGATACAAAAGTTGATCTAAATAATTAAATAAAGGCACGACAGCTGTGAGCTTCGTGGAAAACCCATTTCAAAGAATTATCTGTAAATCGAACTGGTTTGAGGAGGGCATTTCCCCCGCCTGTCTGGGGGCCGGGGTCCGACTCAAAGCCATAGAGCGATAGAGCTTAAAAGCGATCTGCTGTGGCGTTCCCCGAGTAGATCCCGCTTGCACACAGCTCGACAATGATGCATCTGAGTCTCGCCTTTGCCATTGCCGCTGCCCTGATCTGCCTGGTTTCAGGTAAGAAGACGAGCGGCAATCCCTTGACATCCTCCTGACATCCTCTTTCCGCTTATTTCAGCTGGAACTGTGGTCATCAATGGAAGCTGCAGGGACTGCAGTCCACCAGTCGCCGAGACTGTAGTTGTCGGCGGCAAGGGATACAGGTCGGGCAAGCCGGGACAGGGCACCGTCTACATTAACTCCCCCGATGCCTATTCAGTGGGTGGGCCCGGATCCACCGTTGAAGGGGATGCCACTCGCTATCCCGAAGGCTACAGTGGACGTGTGCCTGGTGGCACCTATCTCCACAACAATGACTGTGTCGGATGCAGCATCAGCGGGGGCGGGGACTGATTCTGCGGTTGGTCCAGCGATTACAAAACCGTACATGTACGACTGAAATAAAACACAATAAATGAACGGCCTCTAGGCAAAGACTAATATAATAATTGAATTTGTTATTTTACGGGAATATCCATACATACATCGCTCAATTGTTATGTTTAGTACGTGTGGGAATATATCGGGTTCAAAATAAAACGATGTTGCAAATGTGACAAGAATAAATGAGGCTTGGTTGAAGAGTAGATAGAAATTATACTGACATGAGAGGCTCCAGGCAAGTAGGAGTACTTAGTCTATGACTACTATAATATCAGGTGGGATGCGATGAATATCATAAACGTTTGGAGGATCAAGAATTGGGAGAAGAAACATATCGAACAGAACGAACAGTTTTCTCACATTTCAGAGTTATGGATATTTTGAGACTAGGTAGTCTCTAGTCTTCTATGCTGGACCTATCAGCATCCACAATTATAACTACATTTACGAAAGCTTTACAATATAAGCTTAACAGCTGCATTGCGTGCGCGTATGGGTCTCGAGTCATCTTTACTGGATAGGTTATCAAGTTAGAGGGGATTTTACTTGTTCAACCAGCATGTGTCTCAGGGGAAAATCCACAGATTTCAACAAGCTATAGGTTTTTTTCTGCGAATATATACATATATGCGAATATATCAGTGAGCCATATAAAAAGTTCAGTCAGAGGGCAAGTCTCCGTTAGTCTGCCGTCTTATTTCTCGTCGCAATGAAGTTTATGCCGTTGTTGGTCTCCCTGCTGGCGCTGCTGTTGCTTCTGGTCCACGAGGGCGCTGCACGTAAGTCCCAGTAGCTGATATTTTATTGGAAGAGTCCTCTGATAATTGTTAAAACCTTTCCAGGCTCCTTAAAAATACCCAAAATTACCATCCGGAATGGCGACATCATTGTCCACGGCAACTGCAATGGCTGCACGGCCCGAGCCACCAAAAACTCGGCGCATTTATCAATAAAACTGACGAGCAGGACTACTCACAGAGGATAACTCAGCTTAGCTCCTCAACCTCTAGTATAAAATAGTACTTTAAAGACGTTCTTGCCATATTGTTAATATTTTTAGTATATGTAAGAATGGAGCATGGCTGATGGTTCAGCACTCTGTGATTAAGCCTAGTGATAAGTGAATATATTTATGCACAATTAGCAACCCGATATTAGCTGCCGATATTGAACCTCCGTAGTGAAAAATCTTAATCGGATTTTGGTGGTGGCTCATCTCTGTGCTTTCTGTATCCTGTACACCTGACAGTGCGTCCACTGTTCAATATTAATAATATATTATTGGACACACCCAAATGCTCTCGTAAATTTGTCACATAAAATTCGTGCTTGGCTCGTAATTCATTCTGGGCAGGAGCCAGGTTACGTTTTAGCTCCAGTTTATGCCTCATGCCTCATAGGTAGAATATTTCAGCAAAACGCATAAAAATTGCCATCATATTTGGCTTTATCAAGGACATGCCTTCACGTCCCTCACCCCATCCGTACACGTGTTTTTATACCCGGTACTCGAAGAGTAAATAGGGTATATTGTATTTGTGCACAAAGTGAATGTATGCAACACACAGTAGGGAACGTTTCCGACCCTATAAGGTATATATATTCTTGATCAGCATCAATAGCCGTGTGATAGAGCCATGTCTGTCTGTCCGTCAGTCCGTCCATCTTGTTGAGCGCCTAGTACTCAGAGACTATAAGAGCTAGAGGCACCAAATTTTGCATCCAGACTTCTGTATGCTCACACTGTTACAAGTGTATTTTTAAAATGAGCCACGCCCCCTTCCGCCCCCGCAAAAGGGCTAAAGCCTCCCAAATCTACAATTTGGAAGATAAAAGAAAACTAAAAAGTTCCGTTTCGTAGGGAATGACCATATCTATCAGATCACCAAATTGGGATCCGATTGGATCATTATTATAGCCACAATGAGGAAATTAATTTCCAGTGGCTAAACCCACCCCGCCCCGCAACTTATATTTGTTTTTTGTACATTCTCTCATTCATACTCTGCTTCTTCATTATGCGGCCTCTGCCTCTGCCGTCCCTCTGCCGATTTTTAACCCACCCCGTCCCGCAGCTTATATTTGTGTGGGTCTAGGGGCGGGGGGCGAGCTAACGCGTTGGCGTAAGAAGTGTTGTAGATGTAGATGACAATTTGACAAATAACCGCTAAGGTACAGATGTTGTACTAAGTGCCGTGTATAAAAGTTGTGATGCGTAGGAAGCGTCTCACACGTCCCTTCTCGTTCATTTTCGTTTCGGCAGCGAGTGCGGAAAACCGTTCGTTGGCTTCACCGTTCCTCGTTCCCCGTCACACGTCCCTTGTCCTTTGCGAACAATTTTATTACCCAGGAAAACCCAACGAAAGGCAAACCGCTGTGAGCCTGTAAATGACTCCCCAGGCACCTTTATATTGACTCGTAAAATTGCGACATTTAGTTGTGTGCGAGCGCACAAACCCCCAAACCTGGCCGTCTCCACAAAAACAACCCCCATCCGTTCCTCCCTATTGTTCCTGGTTAACTTCCTGTCGTTTGTCCTTGTCTTTGGCTTCGACTGTGCCTGAGCCAGACCCGGAGCTGCAGACTCGGTCGAAGGACGAGTTTCTTAACGTTTTAAATTTGATTTTTATTCGCCCGACCTTTGTAGCCGGCAAACGATTCTTTTTTATGGATTGAAGGGCCGCCCTAGGCGGCCAGGCTCCCCTCTCCCTTGATTTCTTTCTATCCTGACAGGAGCGGAAATTGGGTTCGTGTAGAGATTGAAGAGAAAGCGATTCATGTGGGAAGGTCGGGACGGTTCGGCAAATAAAGCAGCGAAAAAATTATCATTGCAGACACTTGATAGATTTGTATTCGGCGACTCTGCTCCATATTTTGTTCATTCTTCATTGTTTGCCTCTCGACTCACTTCAAATGGAAAAACTTCTGGCGAGAATTTGATTAATTCCACTTGGGGATGTCGAATGATTTATTGGATTTTTTAGGTACTCAATCGAGGGCGAAGCGATTTTTCATAATTAAATTTATTTCGTTTCGTCGTCTGTCGTCTGTCGTCGCCAATGCGCATACGCACAGTTGCATGGCAAAAGGGGAAGAGCTGAAGCTAGCATCTCCCGTCTGCGTTTCAATGA